TGGCTGCTCGTCAACACGTGTGCACGCGAAGTGCCTCTGCCCCCTCAGGACTAAACTGCCACCACGTGTTGCGAACTTAATGCACCCAGCACTAAGCTAGGAGCACCTGTGTGCGTTCTTAGTGAGGTCTCCCACGTGTTTAACATATAACATACAAACTGCCAGCATCCCACACGCAAAGCCGAGTCCTGCAGGTTAAACCTTAACCTGCCTGAGGCCCTATGCCCACGAACAATATATAACATACAACAGCCGCGTTTCCTGCTCCAGGGCCAGCTCATTCCTGCACCCAAACCACGAAGAACACGGCCTGCACAGAGGGTGGGGGAGGCCTAGGCAACATCCGGAGCCCCCCATGCTCCCACACTCACCGAACTGTTTCTGTCCTGGTTATGCGGCACCCTGACCCCTGGGTGCTCAGTCCTCCCCTCCCCAGGGCACAGCCTCCCTCCACACCCCAGGGTAACTGCCCGTGGAGCCCCAGCCCGGGGTGCAGAGCCCAGCCCCTGCCCTGTCCGTGGCGATCTGATTGGGGTCCTCGGGGCTCAGAGAGCCAATGAGGATGAGGAGGCCCCAGGGAGCTTCTAGAAGTAACCAGGCCTGGACCCCATCTTCAGTCCGCCAGAATGCGCCAGTTTGCCATGGGACCCAGGTTTCAGGATTTTTTAATTTAATTTAATTTAATTTTTTTAAATATATTTTGATTTTATACAGAGAGGAAGAGAGAGGGATAGAGAGTTAGAAACATTGATGAGAAAGAATCATCAATCAGCTGCCCCCTGCACACCCCCCACTGGGGATGTGCCCGCAACCAAGGTACATGCCACTGACCGGAATCGAACCCAGGACCCTTCAGTCCTGATGCTCTATCCCCTGAGCCAAACCGGTTTCGGCAGGTTTCGGGATTTTTTTTAAAACTTCACCCGATTCTAAAGTGCGACTAGCTTTAGAACCAGTGCCCTAGGCAGCTACACAGAAGTTGGTCACAAACACGAAACCTCAGGCCCCACCTGGACCCAAAGAATGGAGCCGGCGACAGGGTTACATGCAGGGGCACGGCCGAGGCCACCCGTCTCCACAGCCAGCGGGGTGCGTGTCCCTCGGGGGCCAGAGGGGCTTGTGCGTTTGAGGGGCTGGGAGGGGCACAGGCCTGCGGGAACAGGGAGAGGACAGCCTGGGCCCAGGTCTCTCCCACAGGGGCCTGGACATGGAGAGGCCTCTCCCGTGTCCCCCGTCTGGCCCTCCGCGGGGCTGGGCAGCGTGTCACCCAGCTGGGAAACAGGCAGGAGCAGCACCCCACCCTGCACAGCCCTGGCTCTGCACACAGATTTCCCTTTCCCTCTGTGTCCTGGGAGGCCGGAGGGCAGGAGGGGGAGCACTGCCCCAGGTGACAGGGGAGGGGCCAGGCCCAGAGCCGGGAAGGAGGAGGCGGAGCCTTCCCCAGCATGGCCAGGGCCCTGGGGAGAGGGCGCAGGGAGCGAAGGGGTTAGGGGTCACTCTGACCGGAGCCGCTCTGCCAGGTGGGGCCACCAGTGGGTTGACCTTTGACTGACAGACCTTCATTCCCTCCCCTCCTCTCGGGGCTGACTTCGGGGACCGGGAACCGGGACAGTGGCACCCCGGCTGGGCTCCCGGCCATACTGCCGCCCCCCGAAGGGCCTCTCCACCAGGAAGGGGTGCCCGAGTCGCCCCCTCTCTACTGGAGAGAGAGGGCAGGCCAGCACCTGTCCCCACAGCTCACCCGGGATGGGCACCGTGGACGGGGTGCTGGGGGAGGGTCCTGGCGAGCATCCTTGGGGAAGGGTCAGGAATGAGGGGGGAGGGACCCCTCCCTCCGGTGCAGGGAAGGGAGCTGAAGGCGGTGCTGGCCCACCTGGTGGTTCTGCCAAGGGCAGAGGCGGAGGGGGGGGGTCTTAATCCAGGACCCTGCCCCCCTCCCCCGCTGCTCTCCACGGGTCTTTCCTGCTGGAGGAAGCTGGCCCCGGGGCGGGGTGGGAAGGAGGGGACCACAGTTGCCAGCATGGTGGGTGGATGGAGGAAAGCGTTCACAGCAGGGGGTCCCCGCCCCCACAGCCCTGGGCATCTGACAGTCCTTCCCCCACACCCCCTCTTCACCAGCACCTCTCAGCAGACAGCACAGCACTGAGGACACAGGAGCAGCGAGGGAGAGACACAAGGAAGGGAAAAGAGAGGCCCCCTCTGTCCACCATGGCTTCCTGCAGCCCCAGAGCGAGCACAGCCACCCCCACCCCCATCCTGGCACAGTTGGGCGGGGGAGGGGGAGGCGCAGAGGGAGCTGTGGGACCCCACACCCAGCTTCCGACCCTGGGCCCTCGCCCTCCACCGCCACCCCTCCCTGCCCTGGGGGGTCTCAGGACCCCATCAGACGCCGCGGGGGCAGGGAGGCCCTTCCCTCGAAGAGGAGGAACCGAGGGTGGAAGGGTGAACAGGGACCCACCGGGAGGATCAAGAGATGCCAGGCGGCGGGCGGGCGGGCGGGCAGCCGCAGCGTTGGAGACCGCAGGGCAGCCGGACGGCCAGCTGGATGCTCGGCCCTCGGCCCTCTGTCCATCCAGGGCGGCTCCTCTGGGCGGTTCTGAGGCCGGCGGGCGCTGTTAAAAAGCTTTTTATGTGTGTGTGTGTTAATCACATGATTGCCGTTCACCTGTATTTCGAACAAAGACAGCTCACTGTTTCAAGGCCCCGAACAAGAGTCTGGGCACAGGGAAGAGAAGGGAGGCGGGGGGAGGAGGGCTGGCAGCGCCGGGGGTGGCGTCGAGGAAAACTGGGGGGAGATTGTCCAAGGCCGGCGAGCGAGAGAAAGAGAAAACCCTTATCAAACTCCTAATTCACTGGGCTCCGCGGCCCCAGACACACTGGCCCGATTGTCTGGCTGGCTGTGTGTGCGAGCATGTGTGTGTGTGTGTGTGTGTGTGTGTGCACGCTCCGATGTCCGCTCCCCCCACCCCCAACATGCCTTCGCCTCGTGTGACTGCCTCATTGTGTCCCATGCCCACCCCCTCCGCCCCCGTGGCCTTTCCCAAGCAGGAGGCCTGGACCCCCTTTCCAGCCCGATCCAGACAGGACTCCCTCGGGGTGGCCTGGGCCCCCGCCCAGCTGCCGAGGAGCTCCCAGCCCTACCTGGTCGCCAGGGCGGCCGCTCCGGTGGCCCCTCCACCCACACCCAGACCTCGGCCTCCGCACCCACCATGGACCAGAGGCAGGGTGTGCCTGGGAAGAGAGGCCTGGGAAAGAGGAGAGAAAGGGGAACCACGGGGGGTGGGCAAGACAGAGACACGGAGGGTCGCCCAGCCAGCCGGGCTGAGGGGGGACGTGGGCAAAGAGGAGGAAGAGGGGCCGGGAGTGGGAGGGGTGCTTCGTGGAAACCAGGGACTCCCGCACGCACAGTGAGAGGGCGAGCCCGGTGTGAAGGGACTGGGTCCCGGGACGCGGGGCCCAGAGCCTTTCAGACCTGCTGGAGAGGCCCCTCAGCCCGGCCCGGCCACTGGGAGCTTATGCTTCCGTCCACCTGACCCTCACGGTTACGTGCCCAACGGGAAGGGCCCGGGGTCAGGCCGGGCCGTCGGCACCGGCAGGTGTGGAGCTGCCCGCGGCCTCCTGAGTACAGACCCGGGCCTCTAGGAGCTGAGGCAGGGGGAGCTGAGGCAGGGGGAGCTGAGGCCGGGGGTGGCCAGTGGGGCTGAGGCAGAGACCGCTGGGAAGCTGCCTGCCCACAGGTGCTCCAGAAGAGTCCCCGCTGAAGCAGCACCCGCCAGCCACCCGGACTGGACGTAGCAACAGATCCTCCCTGCCTTCTCCCCCACTGTTTGCTCCTTGCCCATCCCACCACCGAGGCCCTGAGACTGGGGGGGATCATAGTCAGGCCTACTTTTCCTCCAAGCAACAGGTTCCGACCCCGCCCATGTGCATCCCTTGACTTTCCGGGCCTGATTTACGCCGGCGCCTACACCTCCCCACCCCAGCTCAGACCCCACGGCGGGCCTGGGACAGCAGCGCAGGGCGCCGGGTGGGGGGGGTGGGGGGCTGGCGGAGGAGCCCTGAGTGTTGGGGATGAAGGAAAGCGCTGGAGGCTCCACCTTCTGCCCTTCCCTCCCTCCCCTCCCCCTCCCCCTCCCCCTCTCCCCCTCCTTCCTTCCCCAGCCCTCGGCGGCTGCAGCTCAGGGCTCAGTCAGTCTCAGGCTGTCCAGCCAGGGTGGTTGGTAGTGAGGATCCAGGCTCCGTCCCGACGAGGCCGCGGCCTGAGGCTCAGGGCCCCCAGCCCCTCCCTCCCAGCCCACGGCGCCCACCCCCAGCTCCGAGCTGGACTGCACACCTTGGGACACGGTTTTCCACTTCCTGAGGACGAGCCCCAGGCTGGAGGACAGGCCCGAGGAGGTGAGTGAGAGCGCAGCCCGCTCCTCCCTCCCTCCCTCCCGGCCCAGGCCCGGGACCCCGCCGCGAGGGCTGGGGGAGAGAGGCTGCCCCCCACCACCTGCCCCGCCCCGCTCCCCTGGACCCCATGGGGCGGGCGGGCGGGAAGAAGGGAAGGTGAGCGAAAAGGTGGGAAATTCCAGGAGCCTGGATTAGAGCCGAATAAAGGGTCCGTTTTTCTTCCTTTCCATCAACAAACCTCCACCCAAAAGGAGGTTTATTAAAACAAAAACAAAAAATCCCACCCACCCCAAGAGGCGGTTGGGACCAGGTGGCGGGGAGCCGTGGAGGCAGGAGCGCGGAGGCCGCGCGGGGCTGGCCTGTGCGCGGTGCGGGGCGCAGCGGGTTTGGGGGGCGCAGCGGGTTTGGGGGGCGCAGCGGGTTTGGGGGGCCGGGCGGCGCCCCCTCGGGCTGCGCCTCGCGTCCCGGCCGCCGCCGTCGGGGCTGCGCGGCCGCCCATCGCCCTCCTCCCTCCCTCCCTCCCTCCGTCCGTGCAGGTGAGCGCGGGGCTGTTCGCGAGGGGCCCCGGGGAGGCGGCCGAGGCGGCGGCGGCGGCGGCCGGGGGCGCCATGGCGGAGGAGCAGGACCTCTCGGAGGTGGAGCTGAGCCCCGTGGGCTCGGAGGAGCCGCGCTGCCTGTCCCCGGGCGGCGCGCCCGCGCTGGGGCCCGACGGCGGCGGCAGCGGCGGGGGCTCGGGCCTGCGCGCCAGCCCGGGGCCCGGGGAGCTGGGCAAGGTCAAGAAGGAGCAGCAGGACGGCGAGGCGGACGACGACAAGTTCCCCGTGTGCATCCGCGAGGCCGTCAGCCAGGTGCTGAGCGGCTACGACTGGACGCTGGTGCCCATGCCCGTGCGCGTCAACGGCGCCAGCAAGAGCAAGCCGCACGTCAAGCGGCCCATGAACGCCTTCATGGTGTGGGCGCAGGCGGCGCGCCGCAAGCTGGCCGACCAGTACCCGCACCTGCACAACGCCGAGCTCAGCAAGACGCTGGGCAAGCTCTGGAGGTGAGCCCCGCCCGCCCCCGGCCTGCCCGCCCGGCCTGCCCGGGCCCCCCGCTGCGGGCGGGTTCAGTCCGCAGAGCCCCTCGGACCCCTCCCCGGAGGCAGCCATCTCCTGCTGGGGCTGGGAGGCCCCCAAAGTGCCCCCTTGGCTTGGGGTGTCCCCAGCAGGGCAGCGGGCAGAAAGGCGCCCCCTCGTGGCGGGAATTCCGTGGGTGGCGGGCGGTAGGGTCTAAGCGTCTTCCTGGGGGAGGGTGGAGGGACGGTGGCCCAGGGCTCACACCGAGGCCACCGAAGGCCGTCGCTACCCGCTTCCCCGCAGGCCACACTCCCAGGGGGGCCCCTGCGGCCCGTCCGGTGGCGGTGTGGTGGCGGGGATGCTGGGGAGAGTTTGGCGAAGGATCGAGGGCCTGGCTGCAGAGGCAGGGAAACTGAGGCAGCCGTGTGAAGAGGTGCGAGGTCGGCGGGGAAGTAAGGGGTCGGACAGGAGCCTTTGGGAGAGGGAGGGGTGGAGAGTTCTGTGGCCCAGCACCCTGGCCTGGCCCGGCTGCCCTCACTGTGCCTTCCTGGCCCCCCTCCCCCAGACCGGGGGCTTCCCCCCCCCCCCCCCAGGGAAGGGGACACACAGGAAGAAGCGCCTCCCACCCGTCCCAAAGCAGCTGGGCTTGTCTCCCTTCCTCTCCCAGTCCGGCGCCATCTTCCTTCCCAGGGCCCCACCCAGCGCTGAGTAACTCCTACCCCTCGGCCCCACGCTGGGCTGAGAGCCTGGCCCGGAGCAAGCTTCGGCCCCTTCCTTCCCACAGCCCCTTCCTTCCCACGGCCCCCAGGCTCCCAGGATGCACCACACCTCTGTGCGGACAGCATCCCCCCAGGAGGAAGTCTGCCAACCCCTACCCCAACACCCCCGTCCTGGGCAGCTCACAGAGAGAACAGGGGCTCCCGGGTGCGAGCCTGAGGAGGTCCCCTGATTCCCCACTAGACTGCCCACGAGATATAACCCCGAGAGGAAAGGCCCGCAGAGACCACCCAAGGGCTAGGAGCGGAGCCTGGGCTCCTGACTCTTCGCCCATGGTCTTCCCCACACCGACCTGGTGACACTCCACGGCATGCTCAGGAGGGCGTGGGGCTGGGGCAGAGGGGAGCTGTGGCTGGGCTTTGTCGGAGGAGCTGCTGTGCTCCTGGCTGCCCCTCGCCCAGGGGGGACTGGGTCCCAGAGGCAGCGGCTTCTGTGGGGGAAGAAGCAGGAGGACCTCCGAGAGGGACTGACATCTGGCCCGGCCTTGTCCTTGGCTGTGTGTGTGCTGATGGCCTGGTGCTCCCTATCCCCTCTCCGCCCTCAGCCCACAGGTCAGACCCCCTGCCCAAGGTCCACCTGCACCCATTAGGGCTCAGCCCAGGCCAGGGCCGTCGGTGCCAGGGGACTGAACAGAGCCAGGGAGAGACAGACAAGCAGGAGGGAGACCGGCAGACGGAGCAGGCTGTGGGGCCATGAACGGACCACAGGGGATCAAATAATGAATACAGCAAGAACGGCCCCCCCTTCTCCAATCACCCCATCGCCAAGGGTTTAGGACTGGGCTCCCATTGCCCCGTCCCTGTTCCCAGCCCAGGCATAGGCTCCCTCAAGAGGACTCATTCCTGGCCGCCACTCACAATGTGAGCACAGGGGCTCAGGGTGCCCCCCGAGAGCCAACCAGGGGCGGGGCGATCAGGAAAGCAGGCGCTGCTTGCTCAGGACCCAGCCCCAGGGGCAGGAGGGCGGCAGGACAGTGCAAAGATAGACCGTGCGGACATGTGGGCGGGCTCCCTGGATCCTGGGTGGGCTCTTGAGGGATGTGCTGGGACCTGGACGAGGCTGGCTCTCGCCACGGGCTCCTCCTGAGGCCCCCGCCCCAGATCCATGGCTCCCAGGCCAGCAGGCAGCAGGAAGGGGGGTGATCAGGGAGGCAAAACTGGAAAACAGGGGCCGCAGCCCTGAAGAAAGACAGACAGGACTATAGGGTGCACCCAGGTCCTGGCTCCTCAGTGGCTCCGACAGCCATGCTCGCCCGTGCCCACCGGGAAGGGGCGTGAGCTGCGGTCACGTGGTGCTGGCTGTATGTAGCTGACCTGCCCAGAGAGAATAACTAGAGTCAAGAGACTGAAAGGGGGCCACAGGCTGGCGCCCCCCCCCCCTCCCCAGTCCCTTCCTCTGCTCAGAGGAGAAAGTGGAGCAGCAGCCAGTGTCCCACCTGGGGCCCCCCAGGTTGGGGTTTCCGGTTTGGGTGGGGAAGCAGCCTCCCCACCCCCTGCCTTATCCTCCCCTCCGAGACCCAGAGGACAGAGGTGAAGTGAAGGTGCAGAGGAGGCAGGTTCACGGCTAAGAGCTGGGGGCGATGGGGGAGGGCAGGAGGGGGTCAGGAGAGAGCCTAAGCTGTGAGGTCTGAGTGAGGCTGGGTTGGGGCTAGAGGTGGTGCCAAAACGGGCTGGTGTGTGTGTGTGGGGGGGAGCTCAAAGTTAGGCTTCCATCAAGGTTAGGGTCCTGGGAGGAGCTGGGGAGGGAGGCTGGAATGCCGGGTCGGAATCTTCCCTCTTCAGGCCCATGCCCTCCCTCCGCACCCCCTGCCATTCTCTCACTGATTCACACCCATCGATGGCTGGACAGAGGGCGCAGGAAAGGTTTGAGCTCAGTGTCCCCAACCATCCAGGGAGCCTCCGTGCAAGCTAAGCTGCTCTTCACCTCAAAAGCACACACACACACCTTCCCACACACCCCTTCAGGGCCCGCGCCCACTGCCCTGGCCCAGCCTTCCAGGGACCTGGCTGCGGGGAGGAAGGCACCCCTCCCTGAACCCCGAGGCCCTGAGCTGGAGTCCCTGTCCCATCGCTCAGCCAGAGGGACTCTTGGAGCAAAAGCTGGGCTGGGGCTGGGCTCAGGGCCGCCCCGGGGAGGGGGAGGGGGAGGGGGGCTAAGCTGCAGAGGAATGCTGCTGCCCGCTGGAGGCGCCTGGTATGACCACCCCCTCCCATCCCGGGCGGGACGGCCCAGCTTCTGCTGACTAGGGGAAGAGGGTGCCCACTGGGGGTGGGGTGGGGGCTGAGAGAGTGCCTGTGGGCAGAGAACAGAGCTGCCCCTGAAGAGTCCCTGATGTCTAGGACTCCCCTCCGCACCCTCTGCAAGAACCCCATCCTGCCCTCCTCCCTCTGGGGCAGCCGAGCCCGGCCTGAGGCTGAAGTCCAGGGGCAGGGGCAGTGCCTGCGGGCCTGCACTGGCTGGTCTGGGACTGTGGGGAGGGTCTGTCTGCCCCCCTCCCAGGTCTGGGAAGAGCACTGGCTTCCTCTACCCTGTCGGCCCTGGCTGAGGAGGTATGGCCCCCAGGCTCACATCCTGCCCTCGCCCAGCCGCTGACGTGAGCAGAATCAGAGTGCCAGAGCTGAGCCGGCCCAGCCCCGGGCCTGTCTGGCCTCCCGCAAGCAGCCTCAGGGCAGCACCTATTTCTCAGCCGCCAGCCCCCACCCCAGGCCTGGTGCCAAGCACTTCATCTTGGCCAGCTCCACACCTGGTGAAGTGGGCACTGCCACCTCGCTTTGTTGGTGACGACCCTAAGGCTCAGTCAGAGAAGTGACTTGCCCACGGCCAATAGTTAGTAAGTAGCAGACTGGGCTCTTCCCCCTCACCACACTGCACGGTGTGTGCACCTCTAGTTCCAGGGAGCTCACCCCTGACAAAGTAGCAAACCCCACTTAGACAGCTTTGTAAACATATATATATGTTTACATGTTAGAGAGGAAGGGAGAGGGAGAGATGGAAACATTAGTGATGAGAGAGAATCATTGATCGGCTGCCTCCTGCACGCTCCCCACTGGGGATTGAGCTTGCCACCCTGGGAATGTGCACTGACCGGGAATCGAACCATGACCTCCTGGTTCCTAGGTCGACGATCAACCACTGAGCCACACACACCAGCCGGGCCAAACAGCTTTGATGGGAGAAAGTCTTTCCTCTCCTTGAACTGATGTCTGCCCCTCCTAAGCTCTAGTCCTACTTCTGACTCCGCCCCAAGGGCTGCCGGGAGCAGCAGGCTGACCGCTCTGATACCCAATCCCTGAGAGAGATTTGGGGGTGAGATCACAGCCCTGGGGTTCCCTGGGCCTCCCACCTTCCAGTCTGTCAATCAAAGGCCAGCTCCCGCGCTGGGCGCCTGTCCAGGGAAGACCCTCACGGTGGCCCCCCGCTGTCTCCCCGCCGCCCGCCCCAGGCTGCTGAACGAGAGTGACAAGCGCCCCTTCATTGAGGAGGCCGAGCGGCTTCGCATGCAGCACAAGAAGGACCACCCGGACTACAAGTACCAGCCGCGGAGGAGGAAGAACGGGAAGGCGGCCCAGGGCGAGGCCGAGTGCCCCGGCGGGGAGGCCGAGCAGGGCGGGGCCGCCATCCAGGCCCACTACAAGAGCGCCCACTTGGACCACCGGCACCCGGGAGAGGGCTCCCCGATGTCAGACGGGAACCCCGAGCACCCCTCAGGTGAACCCTGGGCCAGGGCCGGGTGGGGGGTGATGAGAGCTGTGAGCGGGGAGCTGGGTGTGGGGAGAGGTGAAGGCTGGATGGATGGCGTGAGAATGACACCACGGCAGCTCTGTGCCCGGGGACGGGCCTGCCAGGCTGTGTGGTCACTCCAGCAGGGACCCAGGTGCCGGGGAAGGCAGTGGGTACGATGGCTCTGGCTGATGGAGGGGGCGCTGCTGCTGAGGAAGGGCCAGTTGAGGGGGGCCCTGGGGTGAGCTACAGTAAGGAAAGGCGGGTCGGATGGTTTGAGAAATGGGAGAGCAGATAGAAAAGAGAGCATGGCCTCCCCCACCTCCCAGGAGACAGGCAATAGGGCCTGGATGCTGAGCACACGCCATGCGAGGGCCTGTCAGGCCGTCTTGTTTCCTTCTCGTTAGTGATAACAACAGCTAACGTTAACTGAGCACCTACGGGTGCCAGGCACGGCGCCAGCTGCCTTGTGTGCCCGCTCATTCAATCATTCTCGTCTGAGGCTCCTTACGCTCACTGGGAGGTGACAACACCAAGGTGATTGCCACACAGCTGAGGTCTGAGCCCAGCTCTCTGGCTCCCAGGCCTCTGCCGGCCCCACGCTGCCTCGCTTGGGCTGGCGGTGCATGGAGCACCGTGCGGGGGCCGGGTGCACAGGCAGTCAGAGCTCTGCCTTCAGAAGGTATGTCCCGAGTCCCCATGTGATCCAGGCCCGGGAGCAGACACTCAGGAACAGAGTGTGGGAGGACCAGGAACACACGTGCCTTGGGTACAGGAGGAAGCACAAAGCTGCCCAAGACCCAGCAGGGCAAGCTCTCCAGGGAGGGTCGCCCACCATCCATCCAGACAGTCTCCAAAAGCACCCAGCCCCCCGACTCGGGGCCAGGAAGGCTTCGGGATCGAGGCCGAGCCTTGCTCCTTGGAACTGTCTCTGCTTTACTGAAAGGAAACTGGTTAGAAGACAGGGTCTGCCAGGTCACAGGGTAAGTGACAGTCCGGACGCTTGGCCCTCCCCTTCCTCTGGTCTGATGGAGGGGCACAGGCCTGCCTGCAGGAGCTCTGATCTCTGTGACGGATCTCCCGTCCCGTCTCACACACACACACACACACACACACACACACACACACATACACACACACACACACACCCAGAAGACCTGGGCCGGGAGATCCACCGCCTCAGAACTTAACTGTGGGCTTGGGCTTTTTCTCAGTCGTCAAGGCCCCGCTCAGCTCCTTCCCCTCGGCGAGACCTTCCCCAGACCAGGGCAGGGTGAGTGGCTCCCGCTGGCCTGAGCCCCCGCATGCCCGTCATTACGGCACTTCTGAAGCTGCCTCGTGTGGGCCTTGGGGTTGTGAAGACAGCAAACTGTTTGATTGATGCCTGTGTCACCTCTACCTGGCACAGCGCCCCCTATGTGTTTACTGAATGAACATGTGAATGGGAAATGGACCAAGGAGCAGGGTCTCGGTGCCTCCTGAACAAGCGGGAAAAGCCGCTGGAGGAACACTGGGCAGCGTGGGGGGGAGGGGGAGACATTGCCGGGGGACTGGCACAGCCGGAAGGTTCCTGGAGGTAGGGGTTGGAGGGAACACGGCTGTCTGGGGAGGAGGCACAGGCAAACCGTGGAAGGGAGGAGAGAGGCAGGTGGAGGTCAGCGAGGACGGCAGCCAGCAGATGGCTGAATGGAGGGCAGGGCCCCACTGGGCTCAGCAGCTAAGGAGCCCAGGGCATAGGAGGGCACAACCTCAGCTGACGGGATTCCCTTCCCAGCGGGAAAGGTTTTTCAGAAGGAGGCAGCCCTCCCAGGAGGGTGACAGGAGCAGGACCATCCGTAAGGCTGGGGAACTTCAAGAGCCACTAGAGATCCATCCCAGCCGGTTACAGAAATCAGTGCCCACCAGACTGCCCGAGCAGTAAGACGGACAAGGCACCCGGGGTCCGCCCTCAGCTCCCGGAGACCCCTTCTCTCTGCGAAAGCCTCTGACCTGGCTTCCTGCTTCTCTGTCTTCCTCCCACCCAGGCCAGAGCCATGGCCCCCCGACCCCGCCGACCACCCCAAAGACAGAGCTGCAGTCGGGCAAGGCAGACCCCAAGCGGGACGGGCGCTCCCTGGGGGAGGGCGGAAAGCCTCACATCGACTTCGGCAACGTAGACATCGGGGAGATCAGCCACGAGGTAATGTCCAACATGGAGACCTTCGACGTGGCTGAGTTGGACCAGTACCTGCCACCCAACGGGCACCCGGGCCACGTGGGCAGCTACTCAGCAGCTGGCTACGGGCTGGGCAGCGCCCTGGCCGTGGCCAGTGGACACTCCGCCTGGATCTCCAAGCCGCCGGGCGTGGCTCTGCCCGCGGTCTCGCCACCCGGCGTGGATGCCAAGGCCCAGGTGAAGACGGAGACGGCGGGGCCCCAGGGCCCCCAGCACTACAGCGACCAGCCGTCCACCTCGCAGATCGCCTACACCTCCCTCAGCCTGCCCCACTACGGCTCCGCCTTCCCCTCCATCTCCCGCCCCCAGTTCGACTACTCTGACCACCAGCCCTCGGGACCCTACTACGGCCACTCAGGCCAGGCCTCCGGCCTCTACTCGGCCTTCTCCTACATGGGGCCCTCCCAGCGGCCCCTCTACACGGCCATCTCTGACCCCAGCCCCTCGGGGCCCCAGTCCCACAGCCCCACGCACTGGGAGCAGCCGGTATATACGACGCTGTCCCGGCCTTAAAGGGGGCCCTGTCACCTCCCCTCCCCGCCCCTGGGTAGCATTCCCTTCCCCGAGCCCTCGTACCCAGTTCCCCGCCCATCTCCGTCCTGGCGGTGGCTGGGGAGGAGGCGGCAGAGGCTGACAGCTGAGGGGAGGCCTTCTGTCTGGCTCACTGCCTGTGATGACCCCACCCCATCCGACCCAGGCTCCAGCCCAGGCAGAGCCCTAGACTTCCAGGCTGGGCAGAGGAGGGGGAGGAGGTTGGTTTTCGCCCCTAGACTGGACCATGAGGGGCTGCACCCTCCCCCAGGGTGACCCTCCATCCCAGGACCGGAGAAGGTCCCGCTCACCCTCCTCCGGGAGGGGAGCATCCAGGGTCGGATGGGAATCGGAGGCCTTGCCATTCCTGTGACTGTTTCCTCTTTCGTGGAGAACGAGGGGCCCGACATAACCCATGCTGCCTGTGCCACGTGCCTAAGTCAAGGCCAACCCTGCCTCAAGTGCTGGGAGTGGGCTATGTCTGCCCCGTGGGGGCTGAGGACAGCCTTGAACAGGCTCCGAGGGCGTGGAGGTGGGTGGGTGGGGGGCTCAGAGGGAGGTGTCCTCATGCCCCCAACACCCCCTCCCTCCTGAACAAAGAAAGGCATCAACTTAGAGACCCCAGTTCTATGCCAGCAGCCTGGCTCTTCGTCTAACTGGAAAGAGGCCCCAGATCCTCCTCCACTGTGGCCTCCCAGTCCTTGAGGCACATCCCGGAGGTGAGGAAAGGATTCGGAGACAATTCACAGAGCCTTCCTCCTGGCTCTCCGCCAGCTCCCTCTCCCCTCACCAGGCTCCGTGGCCCCTGCTCTCAGCCCCACTCATGGGCTCCCCGAGGGCCACGCTGCTCATGCCCAAACCCTCGGCTCCAGGAGGCTAAGGGGCTCAGCACCAGGTTGCTAGCAGCATCTGAAGACACTAAACTCCTGACATGTACATTCTGCCCCGGCCTTCTGCCCCTTGCTCCCCAGTGGTATCCGAATAAAGTATGTAGCTCTGTCTGCCCCTATTTTCCTGTTCTGCAGCCCCCACAATCCACATGTAACTCATTACTGCCCCCTCTTATTTATCTCAGTAGTTCCCTCTCCCCTCCCCCTGCCCTGCTCCTAGGCTCGCCAGCTCCTATTAACTCTGCATTCCCCGTAATAAAATTAAAGGTTCCAGCTACCTGCTTGGTGGGCCTGGCCTGGCCTGTCTCTTGGTCTCTTCTCCCTGTGCCTCAGACACTCCCTGGGAGTCACTAGGGGTGGAATGCAAAGGATGGCGAACCCACAGGTCTCCTCTCTGCCTAGGAAGGTGGGGGCCTCACAGTGGGTCAGTGTGCTCAGGGGCGGGGGGCCTCAGGAGCTCTTCCCCCAGCCCAGCTGTGCCCACCCTACAGATGGGCCCCTCCCTGGCTCAAGCTGGAGCTCGGCCTGAGCGCCTTCCCAGCAGCCCCTTTGGTTGCCCAGCAGAGGAGGGCGAGTTTGCAAAGAATTCAAGAGACAGTTACTTGAGCCGAAACCGGTTTGGCTCAGTGGATAGAGCGTCAGCCTGTAGACTGAAGGGTCCCGGGTTTGATTCCGGTCAAGGGCATGTACTTTGGTTGTGGGCACATCCCCAGTGGGGGGTGTGCAAGAGGCAGCTGGTCGATGTTTCTCTCTCATTGATGTTTCTAACTTTCTATCCCTCTCCCTTCCTCTCTGTACAAAATCAATAAAATATATTAAAGAGAGAGAGAGAGGTACTTGAGAAAGGAGGGTCAGGCCTGACTTCTTGGTGTCTGGCCAGCCGGCCCAGTCCTTTAGGATGTGATGCTGGGCCTTCTCTCTCTGCACCCCCTGCCCGCCCCTCCACCCCCCACACACATATAAACACACACTAGGGTCTCGCCCATCTTCACAGCAGCTGCCTGTGTCTGAGTGTGAACCCGGGATGGCGGAAGTGCAATCTAACCCTCAGTGCTTACTCCCTCGGAGCTCTCTCCTCAGCTGGATTCCAGGCTGTGCTGGGGGCAGGAGCCACTCCACCTCAGGAACAGAGGGAATGCTCCACTGATGGGTGGCTCCGATGGTTGGAAGTCTTCCTTATACCCAGCTCATAGGAACGGTAAAAGCTACCACTTACGGAGCGCTCCCTGGCCAAGTGCTGTATGTCATTCAAGCCTTTGAGGGAGTAGATCCAGTCTTTGTCCCCATTTTCCAGATGGGCAAACGGAAGCTTCGAGGTTCATGCTAAGAAGTGCTGATGCTCTGACTCCATTGAGCTCTTAACCATCATCTGCAGGCCCTACTTCCACTTTTAATCTGAAAGGATGCTTTTCCACTGCTCCAGATCAACAGCTCCGCTCCCTTACCCACCTCTCACCTCCTCGTAGGGACCTGGGTGGGGTGGGTTTGGAAGGGGCGGGGCAGATTGTGCCAGGACCTAGCCCAGTCCTCCAGGGCAGCCAGACTCCCATCTGGGAACTGTGTCATGTGAGCTCTTAGGCAACCTCACCAAAACTGCTGGCTCCGTGAAGCTTAGTGGTTGCTGCGAACCCGTTCTCATGAACAGCATCTGCTGCCAAGTCCGATCACCCCAAACCGTGTGTAAGATGTGTCCGGTGTTTCATTTTATTGTAGATGAATGCAGGATTTTATACTGATCTTTAACAGTTCATCTTGTTGGAATTGACCATTTCCCATTTGCATTAAACCTTTTGGAATCCTGAATACAAGTTACTAGCTCTCCTGTATTTGCAAACCTGAATATCCTATTCCCATCATTAATAAAAAGGTTGAAATGAAGAGAAGCAGGCCCTGTGAATCCACTAAATCCTTCATCATTAGTTCTGTTACTACACTCTTAAGACTGGCAATCAATTCTGTATCTATTATCACCACGAAGTCCACACTTCATCCTAGTACAGCCTGCCTAATGCCTGGCCAAGATTTGCTGTAGCCTCCGACCTTCCAGACCAGCCACCACTGAAAGAAACACGTGGTAACATTCTGAGAAACCCTATGCTAGTCCCTGGATCTCTTCATGATCTGTTTCTCAATATGCAATGACCGATTCTAGATATGTGTCAGGGATCAATCAGTACTAACTTTATGTGCTCGTAATTTTTACAACCTGCCCTTTCACCTCTAATGGAAAACAGGTATTAGTCCATCTCCAGTCTGTTCACTGCTCCTGCTCTCAGCGGGACTCTGCATCTCATGAGATTGACTGGGAAGTCAGTGGGGACTCGGCAAGAAGGAAAATGAACAAGTGATCCCAGAGAAGTTGGAAGACGTGGCTTGTGTTCATCCCTTAGACTCAGGTTCCGGATGTGCAGGGGCCTCGGTCAGGGAGTGACCGCATGTAAAGAGAGGAGCTAGGTGAAGACCATACCCAGGCCTGGCCAGTGGAATAACCAGGGACTGACTCCCTGAAAGAGGAACAGAGTGGAAAAGGGGAGGTGGGAGGAAAAACACCCCCTTCTCCCTCTCCTACACCCTATTCCCTAAGGGTTAACCCCCCATTCCCTCTCCCAGCCCCTTCTCTCCACCCCCACCCAAACCCCATCTCCCTTTAATCACATCTGATACTGAGTGGCCCAGCGGGAACAAAGAGGCCATTTAGAGAAACGGGGCCGAGAAAGTGACCCCCGCGCTCTGGGGCGGCCGCCTGGATGCCAGCACAAAGGCGGCATTTCAGAGCTGAAATTTCAGCACCCAACTTGATTAAAGGATTCCACAGGCTCGGAGGAGGGTGGGAGGGGGTGCGAAGTCCACTGCTCCCTGAATTAACCCTCTTCCAAGGCAGCGAACCCCCCTCCTGGGACTGACCGCTCATCACTCCCACCTGTCCAGCCGAGGTGCACCCACCCTGGGGCCATGCCTCTTGGGGAAGTCGGGCTGGCCCGCTCCTCCTCTTCCTGGAAGGGGAGCTGCCAGTAGAATGGAGGTTAAGGCTGGTATGTTCAGGGAGCCAATCTTCCTTTCTATCTCTGTTGGTGTCAATATAAACCCTCTCCCTGTTCCCCGCCCTCAGGGAGGGAGGCTCCAACGTGATTGGTCTCACCGCATGTCGGGTAAGCAGGTGAAGAGAACAGGATCCATGAGGACCTAGGACACAGGGTGTGCTCCAGTCCTGATTGAAAGCCACGCCTTGAATCCTGCTTTCCTGCCTATGACCCCAGCACCCACCCCAGGGAAGGCCTCAGAGGGTCACGGGCCCACACTGGACAGGAAGGGCATCCTCCAGAGGCTGGGAAGGAGAGGGTATGGGTGTGGCAGACCAGGGAGGCGGGCCATGGAGGCCATGGTGTGGGCAGTGGCCTGAGGAGCGGGACAAGGGGGCAGGTGGGCAGGTGCCGGGTACTTGTGCCAGCTGACTTGCCAGTAGGGCTCCGCCTGGGGAGGGCGGAGATCACCGCCCCAGCTTCCTGCTGGGCCGCTGCTCCTGAAAGGGGATCCGGCCCATGATAAGAGGCTCGAGGCAGGTCCTCAGGAAACAATGGGTGGTTTGATGAGACCTGCTCTGTGATACTCCTGAGAAGGGAGAAGCCCCTGCAGCCAGTCCCCACTGGAAAGGAAATTGGGAGTTTCCATGGCAACCAGCTCCCTGGGCACAAAGGCTGGTCTGTCTGCCGGGAAGGCAGCTGAGGTGTCCCCCTGCAGCAGCCTTTGCTCTGGAGAAGGGGAGCGGGAGGGAAGGATGCGGGGATCCAAGGGTAAAGGCCCTGGTGCTTCTTCCTAGTCAAGAGCTGACAGTCACGGGGCCACCGGGATGGGTGTAGCTTTAGATGATGGGCAGAAGCTGGTGGCATGCAGACAGCCAGAGGCAGAGGGCGGAAAGGTTAATAGTTTATTATTTACACGGGCAGAGTGGGGGAACAGGTGGGGGGAGGCGCAGTTGGAAGATGAGTCCAGCTCAGTCCGTGATGATGAGCTCGTCTACCCCCCAGTCTTCATAGCTGCCGTCAGGCAGGTAGCGCCGGATGATGATGGGGATCTTCCGGGCCCTGTGCGGGGAGAAGGCACATGTACATGAGGGCTGGACACCCAGCTCTGCAGCAGGAGGGGCAGACTGGCTGCAGGTGCGAGGAAAGAGAAGTCTCAGGGAGCACCTTCCTGGGGCTGAGAGTACTTTGTAGGAATGGAATTGCAATAAAAAGAAGGTTCCTGCGTCCACGAATGTGGGACAGTGGTCTGGAAGGGCTCTGCCGGCCATGTCTGAGGGGGGAGGAGGAGGAGGAGGAGGAGGGGTGGGGGCTGGAAGGCAGACTGCAGCAGGAACAGGGGGCTCTGACAGCCAGGAGAGGTGCTGTCTCCTCAGCCGCCTCCCCTTTGCCTGCCCCTCCTCCCTCTCCCTTCTCCGTCCCAAAGGGCTGACTCCTAACAAGCCAGGACCCACAGGAACAATCACCGCCTCCCTGGGCAGGGAGTGGGGTCAGGGTGCAGCAGAGAATCCAGGGGGTGCCTGCCAGGGCTCTGGAGCAGCAACCGTGATCTGGGCAACTTACTTGAGCTCTTTCATGGCGATAAGCAAGGGATCCGTCTCCCCCTCCAGCTCCACCATCACGGGGGCACACATCCTGTAGGCACAGGGACAGGTGTTGGGGAGACTGCAAACGCAGGGAGAAAGGTCCAACAGGGAATTGGGAGTGGGGGTGGGGCTTACTTCACAAACAGGATTGGATGGGCACCCCAGTCCTTACCTAGGTCACCTGCTTTTTTTTACTTTTTTAAGAAAGGTCACCTAGGCATGGCAGGTGGGAGCAGTGGTTAGGGGCACTGACAGTGAGGGTATGCGAGTGGGTACCAGGTTTAAATTTTGCTCCAAAGACTGAATTTCTCCCTAAATTTCAGTATCCTCATTTGAAAATGAAGACAAAAGCCCTACCTCGCCTACAATGACGCTAGGACACTACTGGCTAACAGTATTCTATCTTACTGATGAGGAAACTGAGGCAGAGAGGTCAGTAACTTGCCCAAGGTCACACGGCCAGTAAGTGGCAGAACCAAGATGTGAACCCGGGTGCTCCTACCAACTGTGCTATAACGCCTCTTTATAAGCTGAAGATCCACAAACTAAAAAATGGGCACTGTGCATGGGACAAGAAGCTCTAATCACAAGGCTATTCCCTGTGGCAGCTCCCCTCTCAGGATCTTCCCAGGGCCTAGGCGGTTTCCCAGCACAGAGAAATGCCAAGAACAAAGGTTCCCCTCCTGATGGCTCTAACCCACCGCCCCCCCCAGACCCTGCCTCAGGGCCCAGCTCCCATTTCCCTTCTCCATCTTGGCAACACCCTCCGAAGTCCTGCGCTTCCAGCCTCTGCACAGGGCCCACGTCGCCTGCTTATTGGCCCCGCTCACCTTTCTGGCGCGTCTCATGCTACCTGCCTATATTCACCCCGTATTCCCACCACACCCCACTCCGGAGGCTCCCTGGCAGACACTGTGGTTACCTTGTGTGTCCTCCTACCGCTCTTCCTCTCCCTGTCGGCCTGGAGAGACCCAAACGCCTCCACTCTAGGGATCATGCTGGATCCTCAGAGCCGGCCATTTACACAGGCTTCTCTCGGCACCAGCCTCCCTGGCCTCTAATCACTTGTTTGAAGTTTTCCACATCAGACACGACGAGAACCTGTGGTCCAGGACGTGTGCTGGCTATGCCTGACCCTCAGCAGAGGCTCTCAACACCGACCTTGGCCCGCCTCTGCTAGGAAGCCACTAATGATGCCAGCTCAGGTTTACACTAATAGATCCCAAACCTGATCATCAGTTACTAGGCGGGTACACTCAAGCCAGGTCCCAGGACCCTTTTCCAGAACCTTGGAATAGACTCTCCAGTGAAAGGGCCTGAGAACCTGTATTTACAAAGCTCCCTGCTGATTCTGGTAATCAACTATTTTTCCTGCCCCCAGTTTACACCAGACAATTTACTAATTTTATTACTAAATAATTTGATTTACTACTTCCAAAAGCCTGAAAACTTCCCAAGGGCAGAGACCGTGTTTAACTTGCCCTATACCCTCTCTTGGTAAGTGTTAAAGCTTTAAAGAATGTGGTAAAAATGCCTTACATGATCTGCATATGCCTTCTTTATTTTCACAATATGAATAATTAAAGATCATTTACTCATCCAGCCCTACTGTGTGCATGCAATGTGCTAAGTGGGAGTATGCTCTTAGGTAATCTGTCTGTACCAGAGCCACCAGCAGTGATTCTCAGGAAATGCTGTAGCACACATCACCACTAGGTGGTGCTAAGGAAAGGAGTGAGACTTCACCCAAAAACTATCCAGGAAATGTTCAGCACCTGACTGCAGGATTGCATGCCTGGTGCGAGGGCTAAGCTACAGGCCTGGTGCCCACCACTCACAGCAGGCAGGGAGCAGCCAGACAGCGGCCACCCCTTCATGGGAAGGAGCACTACAGACCCAGCTGGATGAGACCAGGCCTTTTCCCAAAGAAAGCAGGTCCTGGGCCTCAGCAGTGCTCTGACCGGCTGTCTCCACACTTTTAGCGCTGCACACTGGCCCACCAAACGCGCACCAGTCTTCTGAACTGTCCCTCAAGGCACCGTGACATCCTTTCCAATCTTGTGCTCCACGCCACCTGCCATTCCCCACCACAAGCCAAACCTGCCCGCCTCCACTTGGCCTTGACGCGTGCTGTTTCTGTTCCCGGGTTACCCTCAAAACCACCGCCCTTCCCTGTCCCCGCTTGAACTCTAGCCTCTTCAAGCAATTACTCCCTTCTCCCCTTTGTGTGCCTCTGACAGAGCACCGCGCCTGCCTGCCTGTGTTCTGGGTATTTGTGAGGGGGTCCGCCTCCTCCCAGGCCATAAATACCTGGAGCCAGGAGGATTGTGTTTTATTATCTTCACATCCCAACAGGTAAAAGCGCAGTATCCTATTCAATGTTTGAGAAACTTAACTTACTTGAAAAATAATTTATGAACTATTCTTCCTGCCAGTCATTTTTAGCAGAGATGAGCACTAGACCACCAATAAACTGCTTTGCGACAATGGGAATGTCTTCTCTCCGCATTCTCCTCTGGAAACCACAGCCACGGGTGACTACTGAATATATAAAGGGTTGCTGATGAAACCAAACGACTGAACTTTTCATTGTACTTAATTTAAAATTAAATGGCCGCATGTATAATAGATAGCAGCTACCGTAACTGATGGTGGCCTAGAGGATCTGGATCCAAAGATTCCAAAATGATCATACGGACTGCGGCCCTAACTTCTGCCAGGCCAGCAGAGAGTGCCCAGCCCAACAGGAGGTCTGCTGCCGCGAACGAGTGAGCAGCAATGTTGACCGGCCATAAAGCCTTAAATCGAGGTGGGCACGGTGGCCATCTTCACTGGAGGAAGTCAAGTCCCAAGCTGATTGAAAACTAGGAAGGGGACGCATGCTCCTCTAGCCCCAGCTTCCTTCTACCCTCGTCTCCAATATTCCTACTTGAAGCAACCCAACTGCCGGACATACTGGGTAGGGCTCCTATAGACCTTCAATGACAGCAACAGTCCACCCTGCCCTCTCTGCCCCCCGACGAGAGAGACTTATCTGACAGGGGAACCTGAGGGGGGGGGGGGGAACAGGCATCTGTGGCCTCGCTTTTGGGGAGTCCCTGCTCTCTGAAAGCCACCTGCCTGCAGAGAGGGGGGCCTCGCAGCCTCTGAAGGCAGGCTTGCCCGGCAGACACAGCCTCGATGCCTGCACTGTCTGAGCATGCACTCATCACACATCTGCATCTCCGCCTACCCATGGCTATCTCCCGAATCTTGTTATTCTTCAGCTGCTTCAGACTTGGAAGATAAAGAAGAGGTTGCTAATTTCAAATCCCCAGAACCCCATCACTGTTCTGTTTTCACATCGCTAGCATGGCCTCTACATGGAGGCTCTCCATCGCCCACTATGGACTAGAACCACCATAAGCCCAATGGGGCTGCCACAGCACATCCAGCTAACTGGCCCACAGTGGTCTAGGGTTCTCTAAGCCCACACTTTGGCATCTGACAGCAGGCAGAGTCTGTTTTAGGTGCCAGGCTGCCACATCAGCAGCTCAGAGGCTCCCTGTGGCCCTCGGATGGAAAAGACAGTAACGGGCGCACACTCACGCGATCTGGAGGGCTCGGGTGCCCAGCACGCGGGCTCGCTCATACTTGGTCATGTATGGTGTGGTGATCCGCTTCTGGTTGGCCTGCGGTCGCTCTCCAGAGGGGAGGATCTCCACATTCTCCTGGCCCTCCTGCACACCAAGCAGAAAGAGGGAAACTCTCAGGCGCCTTACTGAGAGGGGGGATGGCGATGCCCATGATGATAACCACCACTGCTTATCAGCCCCCGCAACCTTGCAGCTGCCTTCCTGACACCTTATTTAATCCTCACAGTAACCTCATGAGGTAGGGATTGCAGTGCCGTTTTAGAGGCTTGGAGAGTTAGCGAACTGGCCAGTCTCAGACCTAGTAAGAGAGAAGAATGATGATCAGGATCCAAGCCAGCTGCCTCTTCCAGAAGAGAGAAGCGGAGGGTCCAGAGCCAGGGCTGTCCCAGACCAGTGGCCCCATACAAAGAAGCCCTGAGTGCAGACAACAAGTCACCCTAAGCAGGAAGCGAGGAGCAAACATCCCATCTTCAGACAGGATAACTGAGTCAGTGGGTCAGGTAGCTACAAAGTCAGTGAACGCAGAAACTAGCAAACATTTTTCAATTGTTAAGTATGTTCTCTATATATATTTAACAATTACTTATTAAGCATTTGTCTCATGCCAGACATCGTAATAGGTGTTGAGACAGAAAGCCACAAGTTTCTGCTGTCAAAGGATTCAGAGTCTGGGAAGGAGAAAGAGTAACAGAACAGCAGTGTTTGAAGGTATACAAGTGCGCAACCAAGTTCACAAGAAGGTGAGGTCACCTGATGCATACAAGAGGGTAGGAAGGCATCCAGAGATGAGACTTGAACTAATGTAGAAGAATTAACTGGCGTCCCAAGCCAACAGGAAGGGAAGGACGTGGAGAAAGGCTGAACTGCATGTCCAAAGGACGGAGGAGGGACAGAACGTACTAGGTTTAGACAACTAATTGTGGAGTATGATTAGAGCAAAGGTGCGCTAGGGTTGTAGGCAGGAGAATAAATTCTATAGTAAAGAATTAAGTCAACAAATATTTATTGAGTGTTTACTACATATCTATCAGTTTTTGAGACAGAGCAGGAAGACATAAAAATTCTTCCCCTATATGCGGTAGAGATTAAAAATGGCAGCATGCTTTAACCGGTTTGGCTCAGTGGATAGAGCTGTTGGCCTGTGGACTCAAGGGTCCCAGGTTCAATTCCAGTCAAGGGAATGTACCTTGGTTGTGGGCACATCTGCAGTAGGAGGTGTGTAGGAGGCAGCGGATCAATGTTTCTCTATCATCAATATTTCTAACTCCCTTTCCCTCTCCCTTCCTCTCTGTAAGAAATCAATAAGTTTTTTTTTTTTAAAGTAATAAGCGTACAGTATGACAACAGAGAAAAAAGACATCATTCTAGATACTCTGTTGAGAACATTCTGTAGGGGCAAGAACAGAAGCAACGAGACCATTTTAAGGAAGACCAATAGTAATCAATCACGAGGGCAGGTAAGAAAGGTGACGGCAGCAATCAGGGCAGAATGAAGGCAGAAAAACCAGGAACACAATTCCTGCAGTTATGTTAGTGCAAAGCAATACAGATCTAATCCAGGCTGAACACTAGGCATGTAGAAAGGGACCAGAGCTAAACCACAGGTCGGAGGCATCGCTGACAAGAATGGAAGGGCCCAGAAGGGTGCATAGGAGGTTTCTGACAGTGAATAGGTGCCTGAGAGAGAAATTCAAAAAGAGGGGCTGCAGCTTCCAAGCCTAAAGAAGTCAAGGATCACTCTGTTCAGGAGCCGTAAAGCACTTCTTCCTCCATCAGTCGCACAAGAGGGAGCCCTATCTCATTCATGGAGCTGATAACCCATCTATCTTGCTGTTCAGGCCAGAAACCTAGGAGCCCTCCTTGTCACCTCCCCCTTTCTCAGCCCAGAGCCAACCCACCAAAATACCGTTCATCCGTTTCTCATCACTGACACCAGCAGTGCCCAAGGCCAAGCTACCGGCCTCTCACCGGGAGGTCTATGGGAGTTCCCTAGTTGGTCTCTCTCTTTTTCTCTGTTCCTCCAATTCGCTCCTCACTCAGAGGCCAGAATGCTCTTTCTAAAGTGCTAACTGGATCATGCCACGCCCTTGCTCAGAACTCCTCAGTGGCTTCCCGCTACCGTTAGCTATGAAATCTGCCTGATCTGGGCCCTCATCTTTCCAGCTTTATCCCAGGTCACTCTCCCCCTTGCTCCTATGTACCCTCACCCTGCAGAGCACCTGGCACATAATAAACATGCAACACGTTTGTTGAATGGATGAAGGTGACATTTCACCTACCAGTGAAGTAACTGTCCCAGAAGCCATGGGCTGTGATCCAAATGGACAGAAGCCTTTGGACACACCCTGGAGAGCTTCTCACCACCCAGGACCGGAACTCTGCTCCCTCTAACTGGGGGTGCTTGTGGCAGGGGCACAAACAGGAGGGAGATGCATTCGGGGAATTACCACTGGCCAGGCTGTTTGGCAGCCTGGGCTGCAGAAGAGAGATCCCAGGGTTAAATACTGACCTCCTCAGCATTCTCCAAGTCATCTAGTCCTTCATCCTCCTCCACATCATCAAAGTCATCGCCATCAAAACTGTACAAGAAGAGACCGGTTAGTTAGGACATCACTTAATAGCATCAAAGAGGGCAAAGAGTGTCTCAGCCAGTACTGAGGGAGTGCTCGATAAATATCTACTTAATGCCGAAACAGATTTGGCTCAGTGGATGGAGTGTCGGCCTGGGGACTGAAAGGTCCTGGGTTCGATTCCAGTCAAGGGCATGTACCTTGGTTGCAGGCACATCCCCAGTGGGGGGTGTGCAAGAGGCAGCTGATCGATGATTCTCTATCATCAATGTCTCTAACTCTCTATCCCTTTCTCTTCCTCTCTGTAAAAATTTAATAAAATATATATATATTTAAAATATATAGATAGATAGATATATACATATATATAAAATATATACTTAATGAGCGAATCAAACTTGTGTTCAAACTTACTCCCATCAGCCCCCCAAACTGTGCTAGGACTCATGCATCCTCACCGTTTCTTTTCTCTCTCTACTGGATCATTCCCATCAGCATAGAAATATGTAGATACTGCTCCACCTTAAAAAATAAACAAAACTTCTCTATTCTCTCCCCATGGAGCCCTCTTTCCATGCAAATTCATGGAAGAGTTGTCCAATGTCACAGATTCCCATTCTTCTTTAAAAAAAAATAAATTATTGATTGTTTACAGAGCGGAAGGGAGAGGGATAGAGAGTTAGAAACCTGAGTGAGAGAGAAACATTGATCAGCTGCCTGAAAACCAAGGTACATGCTTTTGACCGAAATTGAACCTGGGACCCTTGAGTCCGCAGGCCGACGCTCTATCCACTGAGCCAAACCTGTGATGGCCCATTCTTCTCTTCTTATTCTGTCATAATTTCACTCCCAGAAGGTACCCACCTCCATAACTCCCTCAAAACCACTCCTTTCGAGCGTGTCCATGATTTCCGTGTTGTTAAATCCAATGGACTACTCATGTTCTCACTGTGCTTGGCCTACCAGCTCACACCCGGGGCCACCCCCTCTCCCTCAGTACACTCTCCCTCCTGGTGTTTCCCCTCCTCCCTGGCGGCTCTTCTCAGTCACCTCAGCAGGTTTCTCCCCTCTCCCCACAAGCACAACCGTGGGGTGGGGATGCTCTAACTGCCGAGGGGGCCCAGCGAGCAGGAAGGGCGGGGAGCCAAAAAGCATGGCCCCAGGTGGGGCCCAGGGTCCGGCAGTCACCGCCTCTTCTCCACGGACACGCCCCTGATGGCCTCCCCTGCTGCTTCCTTTGGAATCACACACTCATGCTGCCCAAGCCCCTATGTTTACCTTCAGAACAGACCTCTCTTTGGACCTCACACACACACATCAGAACATCCTTGTGGCCCTCGCTCCAAAATAAATCCAGAACTCAAAACCACTTCCCCTATCACCCTGTTGCAAGCCACTTCCTTCTCTCACCCGGTTACTGCCGCCCTCCCAGCCTCCCTCCCTCTGCTGAGCCGCTTCTGTAAAGTCAAGTCCTCACTTAACGTGGTCCATAGCTCCTGCGACTTGAAGCAAACCAGTGTCACCACCGACTCACGGATACAAACAGGAGTTACGTTCCTACAGCCTCTCATCACGGCTGAGACAAAACGACTCTACTCGAGGGCCTGCCCATCTCACCGGATGCTGTGCCATCTGCTCAGGCCGGTCCCCTTCTGGAACGGGAGCACGTGGGGATGCGGGGCTGTGCCTCCTACACCTCACGGTCCCCAAACACGGCACAGAGCCCGGCTCGGTGGAACTTGGCTGAAAGGCACTGATCCTCTCTGGACCCTCGAACCCGAGCCTTTCTGTGCCCAACCTCGGGCTAGGCTCTCCGCCCCTCCCGGCTCCAGCCCCGCGGACCCCGCAGCAGCCCGGGCCCCCCAGACTCTGCTCCTCGACTCCAGGCTCCTCAGCCTCCTTCCACCCAGGACCCGCAACGGCCGCTTCGCTCCCGCACTCACTTGTCCTCGTTGTCTGACATGACGCCCGCCCGCGCCCCGGCGCCCCAGCTCCGCGCCCCACACCCGCGCGCGGAGACCCCGAACCGCGCGCCTCCGCCTCGCGCAGCGCCACGCGTCCTCTGCGCCTGCGCGGTGACCCGGAAGCGATCCCTTCCGGAGGGCGGGCCGGTGCCGTGGGCGTGCGCGCATGCTCCGAGTAGCTCGCGCGCCCGTTACCATGGCAGCCAGAGCGTCTAGCGGCCCGCTCCGTACACCGGGATCTCGGAGTATTTCTGCGGGGCCTCCGCGCGGTGCGGCGGTGGGACCGGGATTACGGTCTTCGGCCTTCGGAGTCCGGCCGCCGCTCTCCGCTGGGGGCGGGGTGGGTCCCGGCCGCCGCTCTTTGATGGGGGCGGGGTGGGGTCCCAGCCGCCGCCGTCTGCGAGGGGCCCACCCAACCGGCGTCTTTCTTTAGGGTGAGGTTTCAATTTGGGCGTAACTCCCAAGGCACTGTCGTGACCACGGCTCAGGCCCCCTTCCTCTAGGGCTTTGCCTGCCACAGCCACCGGGTCAAGATGAGGTCTCTGCTCACGTGTGTGCATCTGCCTGCGTATCTGCTCGGGGTGGAAGGATAGGGCACTGTCGCCATAGTGAAGGGCGGCGTCACAATTCCAATGGGGCTGGACTGCTCCCAGACTTGCCTGCTGCTGTGCTGGGGGCAGGGGTGGGAGGGAGGATTGGACCTGGGAGACTGATGTGTCATTGCGTTTTATCCTCCGCAGAGCCTTCCCATGGCTTCCCAGGAAAGGGTAAAGGCAGTGACCAAAGGAACGGGGTTCTGTCGCTGCCCCAAGCAGACCACTTACACCCCTGGAACCTGCCAGCTCCTCAGAGGTTGGTACGCTTACAGGACAGGGTGAGGGAGGTGGTAGCAGTTATCCTCTGAAACTCAGGTCTCCCCGAGGTGGCCTGTGGCTTAGTAATTGCCATATTCACTTTACAGAGGAGAAGGTTCAGGTCCCACAACTTCCTTGCCAGTGGCTGAAAGTCAAACAGAAGATTTCAGAGTAGATCATTCTTTCACATCCCTTAGATCGCACTGTCTGTGTCCTCCCAGGGAAGCCTTATCTCCTCCCCACCCACCACCACCTGGAACCTACATGCCCTCACCTTACCCAATACCTTTTCTTCATTGGACTCAGCATAACCTGTAGTCAGATATTTAGTGTGTCCCATTGATCAGCATCCTTCTACACCTCTAGCCCGGAAACTCCATCAGGGTACGATTGTTCCTGTTTTGGCTTCCTATTGTAGCTCCAGTGTCTGACGCATGCTTAATGAATACTTGCTCATTCATTCATTTATGCATTCCTTCACTCAGTGGAAAACATGTAAAAGCCCACTGTGTGCTTTGTTCTAGGTCAGTGGTCGGCAAACTCAGTAGTCCACAGAGCCAAATGTCAACAGAACAACGGTTGAGAGCCACATTTTTTAAACTTAAACTTCTTCTAACGGCACTTCTTCAATATAGACTCGCCCAAGCCGTGGTATTTTGAGGAAGAGCCACACTCAAGGGGCCAAAGAGCCGCATGTGGCTCGCGAGCCGCAGTTTGCCGACCACAGTTCTAGGTGGTAAAGGATACAGCATAAAAAAAGGAAGAAGAAAAATACAGCAAAAATGTTTGCTCTCATAGAGCAAATATTTTAGTGGGAGGGTAACAAATTAAAATTATAGAGCTTAGATGGTGATGAGTGCTATAGGAAAAAATAAAGCAGGAGAGTAAGAGCGGGGGTACCTGGGTGCAGAATGGCGGGAGGAGATGGCACCTTTGCATTTCAGCCGTGTGAGCTGAAGGCTCTGCCCGCAGCCCAGGCGGCCTTACTGAAGGGCTTTCTCTTGCAGTGATGATGAAGGAATCCAATCTGACTAAGTTCCAACAGCGACACATAATGGACACCATGAAACGTAAGAGTCAGCCCCCGGAGGCTTGCTGGGCAGTGGGGTTCCGGGCCACATTCTGAGTGCTCCTCTGTCTGAAGGACAGTGGGCATCATTTTCAAAGACCACAATAGTACAGTATCGTATTTTTTATCTTGCCCCTGGGAACTGACCTTGAGGGGCCTTTGTTACTTTCTCCTGACATGCGTCCTGGGACAACAAGCTTCCTGCAGTCCCCCTCTAGCCAGCCTTCCCAAGAGATCGGAGACATTGGAACTTCTCGCCCAGCCAAAATCGTCTCAAAACTGTCATGTCTGCAACCTGTTTCTCCCTGTTAAACACATACCATATGAGCTCTCCAGAGGAGAGAACTGTGTATACACTGAGATACTGAGTGGCCAGATTATTATGATCTCTGAACGCATAATAATCTGGCCACTCAGCATATACACACACACACACACACACACACACACACACCTTGCTCACTGCCTTCCTGGCACCCGAGCCTCCTGGTTGTTCCTGATATTCCAGGCACATTCCCACCTCAGGGCCTCTGCTCTAGCTGCTCCTCTGCCTCCATTGCTCTTCCCCGAAATACCTGCAGAGCCGGCCCCTCACCACTGTTGGGCCTTTTCACCAGGGCATCCCTGGCTATCCTATCTAAATTATGAATCCTGCTGTCACTCTGGGTCCCACCACCCAACATACTCTGTATTTTATCTTATTCCACACCTCAAATGCAGGCGCCATGAAGGCAGGCCTTGGCCTTTCTTACCACTTTACCCGCAGCGGTCTGGGCCTGGCACAGAGTAGATGCTTATTACGGATTTGCTGGGGGGATGGATAGAAGGTGGGATGGACAGACAGGGGCCAGATCCTAGTGGAAGAGCCCCAGGTCCTGGCCGGGGCAGTGAGACAGATTTGTGTCTATGACCATCCAAACCATCCCTCCTTCCCTGTGGACCAAGCCGGTTTTAGGAATCCATCTATAGAAATAAAAGCACCAGTGCGAAGGCTTGATGTGCAAGAACGTTTATTGCAACGTTGTTTGAAGTGGTAAAAATAAAATAAAAACAGCCCGAATTTCTGAAATGCGGAGACTAGTTGAATATATGATGTAGCCATCGTAAGGACTAGTATGCAGCTGTAAAAAATAAGTTACATGTAAATGGAGTGATCTGGAAAGAGAGCCGTGATACACTGTTAAGTGAAGAGTCTATTATGGAATGTAGCATAGTATGAGCTTGTTTGTATAGTACCAAGCCCAGCTGGGTGTGGTTCAGCGGATTAGTTTCGATCCAGGAACCAAGAGGTCACTAGTTCGATTCCTGGTCAGGGCATATGCCCAGGTTGTGAGCTCAATCCTCAGTGGGGAGCATTCAGGAGGCAGCCAATCAATGATTCTCTCTCATCATGGATGTTTCTATCTCTCCTCTCCCTTCCTCTTTGAAATCAATAAAAATATACATTTAAAAAAAAAAAAAAGAATGGACTGAGACCACCAAAGTGCCACCATTGCAGAGGGAGGCTGGGAGGGGAGGAGGGAAGACTCTCTGCGCTGTTAGCCTCAGTATAGAAGGTGCCACTGTTATAAGTTGGTAAGAATCCAGTGGATGCCCCACCTCAGCCTCTTCCTCCTCAGGAGGAGACCCTCTGCCCCTGTACTGCAGCCCAACATCCAGCCAGAGGGTCTTGCCTGCCAAGCAGCCGGCCTCCGCCGTCTACCTGCCTCCCATCCTGGCGACCCGGTCCCAGCTCCGACCTGCCAGCATGTGCCAGGCCAATGGGGCCTACAGCCGGGAGCAGTTCAAGCCTCGAGCCACCAGTAAGTTAGATCGCCTGGACCAGGGCCCCACTAACCCCCGTCCAGGAGGGGCCGGGGGTGCGGGGAGATGAGCACGAATCTAACCAAATTGCCCCGCTGTTTATGCCAGTGCTCTCGAGCCTTGGCGCGTTAGCTGGGGAGCGTTTAGGGTGCAGCAGAACATGGGTTGTCCTTTTTCAAAAAATGCCCCAAAATGCTCTTTAACCACTAGCTGGATTCTGTCAGTCTCTGCGGAGGGCTGACCGGCAGACCTCATGGCCACAGCTCTCCCAAGCTTACGCGGCGCCTCAGATCCAGAGCTCCCTGCGCCCCAGCCTACCTCAGGGAACCCTTCACCCCTTCCTCAGCGCACTTCCCATCCTCCTGGCCCAGTCCCTCGTACTCTGCACACAGGCTGCCCCCTGGCGACCACTGAGCTTTCTTAGCCTTGCTCTGCACCAGCGCAGGGTTTTGGCAAAGCTCTTGTTGGTTCTTTCAATCCCTTTCCTGCCCCTCTGACCAGACAGGCTCAGAGGCGCGTGGCTGGGAGGTGCAGATTGCGAAGCCCCTCCACGTCACCCAGGCGCCTCGGAGCATGGGACCGGGGGCCCTTCGTGCCTGACCGGGCCTTTCCTGGACCTCACAGGAGACCTGGAGAAGGAGAAGCGAAGGCTCCAGAGCATCTTTGCCGCGGGCAAGGATAAGGAGGAGCGGAAGAAGCAGCCCCGGGCCGTGCAGCGGAAGGACCCAGCCCCCGCCCCCGCCCCGGACCGGTTTGAAGAACGTAAGCCCAGGATGGGCCAGTTGGCGCTGGGGAGGGGCAGGAGGGGCCCAGAATCGGGGAACGGTTGATCCTTGAGGGTGACCACAGCGTTGCTTCCTTCCCCGAGGCAGTCCCTCCCGGCGCCCCCTCCCCACCAGGCGCCTGAGGGCCCCATTGCCCTGTGTGATGACGACCCTTCTCCTCTCTGTCCAGTGGTCAGAGAAATCCAGGAGAGGAAAGAATTCCTGGCTGAGATGGAGGCCCTGGGACGGGCCAGGCAGTACCGAGGGATCATCCTCACGGAGATCTCCCAGGTAGGTGCAGCAGCGGCCGGGGCGGGGCCGTGGCCACCATGAGGAGGATGAGATCTGAGCAGAAATGAAGGGCCAGCTGTGGCTGAGGCATGCGGAGCCCAGCTCTGGCCTCACCTTGTTGGCTCCTGGAGTTCCTGCCCTGATCCTCAGCTCTCCCTGCTGCCCTTTGCAGAAACTCCGGGAAATGGAAGACATTGACCACCAGAGGAGCAAGGAACTGAGGAAGGCTCTGGCCACTGCCTAATCTGTCTCCAGGGGCGGAGCAGCCCATCCTTGACCACTGGAGCCCACCCATTGCCAAGAGGGTCAGCCCAGGTCAGCCCACCCACTCAGGCCTCCAGCCATGTCAATGGTCATACAGCACTGCCCTGGCCCAGGGTACGGGTACCCGGGCACACACACCCCCTATAAAATGGACATCAGAGACTGCACCCAGGCTGTGCCTCTTGAAACCTAGTCTCTTCCCCCTTCTCTGTCTCTCACACACACACACACACACACACACACACACACACACGGCTTTGACTCTTTCCTGGGGAAAGAGCCCCCTTCAGAGTGAAGGCAAGGCCGGTCTCCCCATCGTGGGCGCCAACAGGCCCGCGTCCTGCCACCTGCAGCGCTGGGTGCCCCACGTTAGTGTCTGAACTCGGGGATGAGCATGGCTCCTCTCGTCCTGCCTGCCTTAGGGCCTACTTCTTGGACTTCTTACATTCTTAGGCAAATGTTTAACCATGAGGACTGATTGGCCAATAAAACACAGTTAACGCAGGTCATTACACATTACACACACTGTTTTGTTTCCAGAGGGATAAGCCTTATTTGTTCAAGGAGTTAGGCTTTTCCAAGTATGTTTCCAGCTGCTGGCATATTTCAAGTGGAAAAGGGAAGGAACCTCTTGAGCGCCCCATAGCGGGCACTGTGGCAGGTACTGAATTCCTCAATGGTCCTCCCCATTCCTCCACGCCTCCCCTTCCCCCCCTCCTCCCCCGTGGTGCTCCATCCGGCCTGAAAACGAAGGCTCACCACGCTGTGAGCTCCAAGGCCGCATCGCTAGCAAGTAGCCCACTCAAGGGCATGTCAGCTTTGCATCTTTTCACTAAACCCACGGCCACAGGAAGAAACAAAGGGCTGGGAAGGATCCAGACCGGGCCCTGGCTTTGGTTCCCACCCCAGCCTCTGCTGCCCGAACCTGGGCACCCGGCCTCAGCTCCGACTCTCCTCTGTGAGGCCCGGCCTCAAAGGAGGCGTCTGCCCTCGAGAGCAGCCCGGCCTGGCACACTGCACAGCCCCGTGGCTTTGGCAATCACGAGCCCTCCGACCCCTGTATTCTGTCCTTTTCCCCTCTCCATAAGGCACCATATTTTGGAAATTTCGACCCACCTGGGAGTCATAAAATCCTGCAGTTAGTCTGAAGGGTAAACTCTACCTGCAGCCTCACACAGGTAAGGGAGTGGGGCCAGATCAAGGGGTGCTTTAGGAACAGTCCGTGGGAAGCCTATGTCCACGCCCTCCTGTGTCCACACTCTCCGGAACCTGAGGCCAGAGGGCGCAACAGACAAGGCCAGCTGTCCGTCCACCACCTTAGGGGCCCCACCACCCCGCCCCACCCCAAGGCAGCGCACTGGAGAACCCAGATAGTTCAGCCTCCCCTCGATTTAATTTCAGATTAGCTGCCAACGTTTACAAATCACACACACACACAATCTGGGTTTCTAGCTTCTTTTGAAAAATGGAAAGATCTGATGACATGGCACATTCCCACGAGTCCCCACCACCTGAGTCTAACATGGAGGCACCCCTCCCGGCCCGTGCATCCTGGCCCCTGGAAGGCCCTGGAGTCGGTGACCGGGCCCCAAGGCAGCAGGCACACGAGGAAGGGGGCTGCCAGGGCTTCACCTCCCTCCAGAGCCAGGGCGTCCCGCCCCAGGGCAGGCAGTGAGGCCAAAGCCCCTCCACACCTCCTGGGCCCCAGCGAGGCCGGGCACCTGGAGGCGGGAAGGCAGGCAGACCTGGCCAGGCACAGCACCAAGGCTGCGGGCACTGCAGTGAGGAGGTCTCCGTTTATTGTGGGCATAACACAGTGCCATCTTTCCCAGAGGGGTGCTGGGGAGGGGCCTGAGTCCCAGACCAGCTATAGCAGCAGAGCTTCGGCCGAGAGCTGCTGGCACAGTCCCGGGAGAAGGCCCGGCCCCCGCTCCTCCCAGTGGGGAGCGGCCTCAGTTCTCTGGTGGGAACAAGTCGGGGAAGAACAAGCAACAGGAGTGTGAGGAGACAGACTGGCGGTGACCACACGCAGGGATGGGCCCCTCAGCCCCTGGGGGGCGGGGTGAGCCTCCATGGGCCTCACTCCAGTGTGACCGAGAACCGGGATTAGCACCTACGCGAAGCAGACCCCTCGGTCCATCAGGAGCTGCCACTGAGCCTGCCTCCAGAGACTCCTGGGGAGACTCTGCTCCCCAGTGCGGCCAGCACAGCCCCCATCCCGCGAGGTCCCTACAGAGCAAGGAATGAGGGAAGCACCTCCTAGAACTTAGAGACGGAGGGAGGGTTTCGTCCATCAGCCCCACTCGGGCTGAGGACACAGTCACTGAGCCACACGGAGACGTCATAAATACAGCTCCCGAGGGAGAAGCAGACTGGCCACCCGCCCGGCGAGGAGACAGGAACCGAGCTGGCCCAGCCGGGCAGGAAGCAGCCACGCAGCCAAGCCCTGCTCTCTGCCTGCGAGCAGGACCCTGGAGGCAGGAGGCCTGCGCACACCTCAGGGGAAGGACCAAGGAGCTTGCTCCTCGGGTCTGTCACAGCATCTGAGTCGGCAGAATCAGGCCGGACAGGCTGAGCCGGCGGGAGGGGGGGGTCCCCTCGCTGTTAGCTCTTGTCCCCAGGGGACTTGCTCTTGGCGTCACGCTTATTTGGTGTCAGCAGCTTCAGCACCTTCACCTTCTTGAACTTGCCCTTCTTGCCGCCCTCGGATTCAGCCTCCTTCTGGAACTCTGCAGGAGAAAGGGGAGCCTGAGCAGCATGGGGGGAGGGTTGTGACAGAGCCGGCACCTCCTCCCGGGAGCCCTGGGCCGTCACTCCGCCCTCAGCCTCTGCTGCTTTGCCTGCAGGATGGGAACCAGATTCTCTCCCAGGGTTTTGGCAAGGATCCGAGATAAAGGACTGTGAGGACTCTGAAGTATGGCACACGTTTATCTTTAAGAGGCCAAGTCCCTGGGCCGGTGCTCACAGCTCTGGCTACAACACAAACACTGACTCTGCAGGAAGAAACTTAGCATCGCTCCCGTCCCTGGCTTTACAGGAGAGAAAATGTGGGTTTGCAACAGACTCGCACCGACTGAGCTCCTCGTAGGTGCCAGGCCCACACGTGCCCCAGTACCCTCCGCACATGCCAGGAGGCGGGGCCTCTGCCACCCTTCTGAGGGCCCGAGAGTCAGGTCCGGGCCCCCACTAATACCCACCAGAGTGGGACTGGACGCCCAGCAACCTGAGGGAGTGTAGACGCGGCCGCAAGGCCACAGCGTGAGTCACGGTGGAATAAGATTGAGCCCAGGTCTCCTCCTCCCCGCAGTGCTCCCTTCCCCGCTGCAGGCTGCCTCATTGCCGCAAGTGCTGCCATTGGGCCCTCGGGCTTCTAAGACCAGCTGTGCTCCCGGGAGGAACGCAGGTTCAGGCCGGAACTCGGGCAGCCCACAGCCACCCTCCGAACCCAGGCCCGGCCTCCCTGGCCACAGAACCGGGAGCTGGCACAGGCCATCCCTCCGCTCAGCCTGGAGGCCAAAGGGCCCAGCGCCGAGGAGGGCCTCACCTTTCTTCTTAATCATGGCTTCCAGCATCTTATCTTCCTCTTCCTCCCTGAAAGGAGACAGGGAACTGAATGTCCACAGGAGGGAGGGCCAGAAATCCCAGTCCCTCCCAGCCTCCGGCCCCACCAGGTGAAAGGGCCGGCCCGCCTCTGAGCCCCTCCCCCAGGAGCCGGGAGCCCTGACCCAGCCGGCTCACCTCTGCCGGTCCTCATCCAGGCAGTTGACTATGGCATTGCGCTGCTCGATGAGGGTCACCATCTCCTGCATCAGCACCTTCTCCCGGCCGCGGTCCTCCTCTGTCCAGTCCTTTTCTGCCCAGGGAGAAAGTTGGGGGTGTGAGAGTGGGAAACCCTCCTGCCTTCCCAGGAAGCCGGGCAGCAACCCCTACGTGCTGAGTCCGGGCCAGCCCCGTGCTAGAGGCCAGGGCGGGGGAGCAGAAGGTGGGAGTCCACGTGAAGGTCATTATAATGAAGGTCATTATAGAAGAGACCAAGGTGACGGGCTGCCTTCCAAAAACATCACCCGGGGGCGCTCAGAGGGCCGGCCAGCACCTGCTCTGAGAGCAGAGACCAGTGCATGCCAGATGGCTTCCTGCTTCTGTGCATTCACTCATTCATAAATGCTCATGTATTTTCTTGGAGGAGGCAGGGTTGGCCAGAGGGAGCAGGGAATCCCAGGGCCCCTCGTGCAGGAGACCCATGTGGCTTAGTGGGACATTAATGCCATGAAGGAGGGCAGACCAGAGAGGACCCTGGGGCAGGGAGCCCAGCCATGCACCTGCTGCTCCTCCAGCCTCCTCTCAAGATTCCTCAAGGACCACCTCAGGACCCACCTGCCCCTTCAGATTCCTCCCACCCAGCCAGCAGGCCCCCGGAGGTGGGTGCCCACCCTTGGCCTTCCCCCCACATCTGCCACCACAGGACTCCCAGTTTGAAATAAGCATCTGGGCCCCCAGCCATGCCTCAGCGTCCCTCCACTTCACCTCGCACAAGACAGCAGCAGAGGTCACATCACACAGCAAGGATGGAGCCCGTATTTGAACCTGGGCTACCTGACACTCCCCATCTGCAGTCCTTAGAGTATCTATGGGTCTCGAACCCTCCTGGGGCTTTATAAACCAGTCCCACCCCGCCAACGAACCTCTGGGACAGGGTGACAAAACCAGGATGTGCTGTCACCACACAGAGGGCTGGACAAGCAACAAACAGTAAGGCCAGAGCCAGGCTGGCCGGCATACAGGTGCTGCGCCCACTCTGGCCACAGGGTGTCACTGTGGCTCCCTCCAGTGTGGACGCTCCTTAGCCTTCCTGAAATTTGGGAGGGACTACTCTCCCAGGCCTTCCCAGGGACACTCCCAGCTTCCCCAGTCAACGGAGAGGCAGGGCCACCGACCCCCCGCTGGCAGGAAGGGCTGTGTCCACAGGGTCAGGCCCAGGTCCACCATCCATGGGCAAGACTCCACCTCCCTGCTCTGCATCATCTCACCTTTTTGTGGAAATGACGGTGCCACCCTGGGCCACAGAGAGTGGTCAGAGCCCGGCTCCCACTCTAAACACTCCACCGTCCCTGGGCCTCTGGGCTACAGCTTCGGCTCCCATGTCACAGCCACAGACCCCATCCCAGCCACGTAATAACCATCACTGTCCGCCCCTCAGAATACTCCCACATCCACGCCACCTGGTCCCAAGGACACCTGTGAGGTGGGTGCCTTCATCCCGTCTGACACCTGAAGCCACTGAGGCTCATTAGCAGCAAAACACAGGATGGTCTGCCTCCACACCCAACCCTCCAGCTGCCCCTCCATGGTCCTGAGCGGTCCTCCCCTCCTCCCGTCATTCTGAGTCACACTGCGCAGGGACCCCCCTCCTTTCCCTCCCAGTGCTGCCAGGTCCAGCTGAGCTCCAACCCAAGAGAGTTGGACGTGCTCGCTCTAGTGCTCGCTCTAGCCTCAGGGCGTGAGCCGGAGCTGCCTCTGGACAGGAAGCTGCTGTCTTTTGCTCATCAGAGCAGCCTTGGGCTCTGGAGCCTGAGCCCCACCCCCCGGGGATCCACCGGCCCACATGGTCCCTGAGGGGCAGCCACAGGTGTCTGTTCCTGAGCCCGCTCGTGGCCAGTCATCTCCGACACCGTGTGGCCACCCGCCCCTGGCTCCGACCACTCTCACTGATGCACCCAGACACCCAGACGGCGCCTCCGGGCCCTCCCTGGCCGGTCCATCAGGGCGTCACTCCCAGCCGGCAGGGGAGGACTGGCCGCTCCGTGCCCGGCCCTGGCGGCACTCACCGGGCTTGTTGAGGAGGCACCGGAGCTCATACTCCACGTCGGCCTGGCGCTGCTCCAGGTTCTGCTGCTTGAAGCTGGGGTAGGAGTAAGACGGCTGTTACCTTACCTCGGCCCCACGCAAGGCCCACGCGGTCAGATGCGGGAGGAAGCGGGACGGGGAGGGGGAGCGGGGAGCGGGGAGGGGGAGCGGGGAGGGGGAGCGGGGAGGGGGGGCGGGGAGGGGGAGCGGGGAGGGGGAGCGGGGATCGGGGAGGGGGAGCGGGGAGGGGGAGCGGGGAGCGGGGAGGGGGAGCGGGGAGGGGAGGGGGAACCGGGAGCGGGGAGCGGGGGAGCGGGGAGGGGGAGGGGGAGCGGGGGAGCGGGGAGGGGGAGCGGGAGGGGGGAGGGGGGGGAGCGGGGAGCGGGGAGGGGGAGCGGCCGGGGAGGGGGAGCGGGAGCGGGGAGCGGGGAGGGGGAGCGGGAGCGGGGAGGGGGAGCGGGGAGGGGGGAGCGGGGAGGGGGGAGCGGGGAGGGGGAGCGGGGAGGGGGAGCGGGGAGGGGGAGCGGGGAGGGGGAGCGGCCGGGGAGCGGGGAGTGGGAGCGGGGAGGGGAAGCGGCCGGGGAAGGGACTCACACGTAGATGAGCTCGGACTCGCGCCGCACCAGCAGGTGCTTCTCGTGGATGAGCCTGAACCAGTCCACCAGCATGTCGTCCTCGTGGCCCTCTGCACCACATGCCACTTAGCCAGGCCGGCAGCGGTCCGCCTCAGCGAGTGCCCGCCCCCGCCCCCCCCGCCCCCTCCCCCCGCCCGCCGCCTCCCCCCCCCGCCCCCCCCGCCCCCCCCCCGCCCCCGCAGCTCTCGCACCATTCACCCCGCCTCGCAGCTTCCTCTCCAGCTCCACCCCGCGCAGCTCCAGGGCGTCCAGCTGGCGCTCGATGGTGTCCACCTCGCGGTGGATGGCCTCCTCGGGGATGTACTGGTCAGCCTGGACCTGCCCACAGCACCCGGTCACCGAGGAGCAGCCCCGCCCAGGGCCCGGGCGCCCGCCCACGCCCTCTGCAGCGTCCAGGCGGGGAAGGGGTGCTGTGGGCACAGACACGGCCGCCCCATGCCCCTGCCAGCACCAATGGGCACACCGAGGGAGGCTCACCTCCCGCCTCTGGGGGCAGCCCTGCCCCTTCCCTGCCGCTCCCTGAGCGACATCCAGTGAGAGCGGCTTGTTATAGACAGAGGGACCCTGCGGCTAGAGCACTAGACCCGTGGTCGGCAAACTGCGGCTCTCGAGCCACATGCGGCTCTTTGGCCCCGTGAGTGTGGCTCTTCCACAAAATACCACGTGAGGGCGCACACGTACAGTGCGACTGAAACTTCGTGGCCTGTGTGCAGAAGTCGGTTTTCGGCTCTCAAAAAAAATTTCAGTCCTTGTACTGTTGATATTTGGCTCTGGTGACCAATGAGATTGCCGACCACTGCTCTAGATTATCTTACTAGAGTCAGCTGAGTGCTCTGATCCTGAGCTAGAGGCCCCACCCACTGCTCCTGCGGAGGCAGCTGATCTGCTCGAAACCGCCCTGGTCAAGTTAACCTCCAGCTGGACCACCCAAGCGCCCCTCTCCCACATCTGGGCACAGCTGCCCAGGAGCCCATCCTCCCCAAGGGCCCCACGGGGGGGGGGGGGGGGGAAGGGGATGGGTGTGGCTGGGCCCACGCAGCCTGGAACTCCGGCCAGCCTGGAGCTCCCGGCCGGCCGGTACCTTGCGCTTGATGAGCGGGAAGCCGTGTCCGGGGGCCGGGGGCCGGGCCGGCCTGGGTCCTCTGGTGGCTTTCTTTGTGGCCGGGGACGCTGTGGGCGACGCCTTCCGGTTAAAAGGGTTCTCCTTGCAGGAAGACTAAAGGCAGGCGACAGGACAGAGGGTGAGCTGGGAAGGGAGCAGTGGGACTTGGGGAAGCAGGCTGCCCGGGGCAGGGGGAGGCCCCCGCGGAGAGGAATCCCCCCATTTGGTCTCCCACACACGCCCATCCCCAGCCGCGGGCGGCTGCTCCCTGGGAACTGGGACACCTGCTTGTCTAGTTCTCACGGCCGCTCCGCCAAGTGGTATTGTAATGCCCACTCCACAGCTCAAACTCAAGTTCAGAGAGGTTAAGTAATCGCTCAAGGTCGTGCACTTCCCAAGGGCCCGAGCCAGCTGGGTCTGTTTCAGGCAGGGCAGCCACCCGGCCTGGGGCAGGGCCAGGTCTTGGGCGTTTGGGCCAGCAGAGCTGTAGCTCCTTCAGCCTCACTTCTGCCCCTTCCCCAGCGAGCCTCCCCGAGCCTCCCGGGCTCAGAGGGCTGCTCCCGCCCAGCGCGGCCCAGGCAGGAAGCAGGAAGCAGGAGCACCGCCCCTCCACCCAGCCCTCCCTGCCACCCAGCCCTCCCTGCCCAGCCCTCCCGCCCTGCGCCTGGCCGGCAGGTGGCGGAGAGGAGCCCCCTCCTCCACCGGCCCCTCCATGCAGAGCCCGCCTCTCTCTGTCCCTCTGGGGACAGCCGGCAGCCCGAGCCCCTCCCACCACCTCCCAGCCCCCTGGAAGCACCTGGTCATCAGGGCCCGTGGAGAGGCCTCACAGGCCACCGAGTGTCCCCGAGTGTTTACCCAGCTTTCTCCAGCCGCTGAGCAGCCCAGGGAGAGGCTCCCTCAGGGTGCAGCCGTGTCCTGGTTCCCACAGGACAGCACCCGCCCAAGCCCCGCTTCTGCCCACGGTGCCTCTGCCACCCTCGCCTCACTGTGGGGTCAGGGTGTGGGGTGCCTCAAGAGGAAGCCCATTTGGGACTCTCCCTCCTCTCCAGGCACACCTGAGGGGCTCAGCAGGGCCGAGCAGCCTGAAACCCCAGCCCCTGGGGACTCTCGGCCTTTTCTCAGACACACAGTTCCTTCCCCCAAAAGGGTGTTTTTAAAGGGAGCCGCCTAAAGAAGGGGCTCCCCTCCCGCACCTCCCACCAAGGACCCGCTGAGGCCTAGAGGAGGGGCGGGGCCAGGGAAGGGCGGGGCGGCTTCTCCAGGTCTAGCAGGTGGTGGCAGAGCGATAGGCAGCCTTGGCGGAGGTCAGGGAAGGTTAAATGCCCGAGGGGCACATGGGCAGAGGCTGGACCAATAGCTCAGCTGCCTCCCCGGCCTTGTCCTCAGTCAGGTCAGACCATGCCCACAGCTGCCATAGGAGCCGTCCTGCCCCTTCCCCTGGGGCTGGACCGGCCTCGGGCCTGCAGAGCTGCAGAGTGGGGGGCGAAAGTGGACGATCAGAACCTGGTGGCCTGGAGGGGCTGTGGCTGCAGGAGAGGCCCCTCAGGAACCATCCTGACCCCTGGTGACCCTCCTTCTTGGTGTGGCACTGAAACAAGAGTGCACACAACCCTCACAGGTCATGAGCTCCCTGGATGATCGCCTCATGCCCACTCCACCCCAAGGGCAGAAGGAGTGCAGGACGGGCCTGGGAGGGCCTCTGAGAGCAGAGGTGGACAGAGGACGAGGGATGGATGTGGCTGGGTGAGCGGATCCCGAGTGGAGCGGTGCATGGACAGGCAGGTGAGCAGGCGCCGGAATGCACCAATGCCTAGGGCTGGGCGGGCGGACAGGTGAAGAAATGGACGGGAGGTCTGGCCGATGGACGAACGACAGACAGAGGGGTCTGTGCCTCCGTGAATGGAGTGGTGAGTGAGTAGATGGGCATGGCCAGGTCAGTCAAGAAGGAAGAGGCCAGCAAAGATGGGTGGCCACGGGCATTCCTGCCCCGAGACCAGACCCCAGTCACCGACAGGCCAGCTTCCGGCGAGGGCGAGGCACTCACCTTTACCTGGAGCTGCGGGGACGAGGTGCCGGGCGAAGGCCCGGGGCCCGTGTCTCCCACCAACAGGAGAGGGGTGGGGGCAGCGCCGCTGCAGGGCTTGGCTGGCTGGGCGCCCGGGCTGCCCCTGGCACGGGGGGCGAGGCCGGGGCTGGCTTGAGGCGTCCGGTCCAGGGCGGGCTGCGCCAGCTCCCCCGAGGAGGACAGGGAGGAGTCGGCGGAGAGGCTGGCAGCGGAGCCGGGGGTGCCGGGGGCGTGGACGGCAGGCTCGGAGGAGCTCTTGGGCACGGCCGGCAGCTCCAGGAGGGCCCCGCCGGCCGGCTGGCCGGAGCTCTCGGAGGACAGGCTCTCCACGCTGAGGGCCGGCGACGGGGTGGCCGAGGGCGGCTCCGAGTGTGAGAGGCGGGAGGCGTGGAGAGCTGAAAAACAATGAGCCAGTGGGCGCCACACCTACCACAGTCCCCTCGACAGATCTGGGGGGGCCTCGGACACCATGTCCTCCCACGACCAGAGGGAGCCCACACGGCCGCCATCTCCACCTCCCCTCTCATATCTGAGCTGACCCAAGCCAAGCCAAGTTGAAAAGGCAAATCTGCCGAAACCAGTTTGGTTCAGTGGATAGAGCGTCGGCCTGTGGACTGAAGGGCCCGGGTTCGATTCCGGTCAAGGGCATGTGCCTAGGTTGCGGGCACATCCCCAGTGGAAGGCGTGCAAGAGGCAGCTGATCGATGACTCTCTCTCACTGATGTTTCTAACTCCCTTATCTCTCTCCCTTCCTCTCTGTAAAAAAATCAATAAAATATATTTTTTTAAAAAGGAAACCTGAAAATAATAAATAAAAATTTTAGCCTTAAAGAAAAATTTTTTCAAAAAGGCAAATCTGCCAGGGGAGGGAGGCACAGACAAAATGGGAAGGAAAGCGAGGCAGCCACGCCTGGGCCCCCACCAGGAGCAGCGGGGCAGGGGCTGCAGGAGCGGGAGGAGCCGCAGCCTCCCCGGCCGGCTCTGGGCCAGCTCTGCCTGCACCGTGACATCCCCGTGCAGCGACGACACCACGCTTCAGTGTCGTCACCTGCGGTTCCAGACGAGGCCGCAGGCAGAGCCACGGCACCGACGGCAGAGCTGGGGGGGAACCGGTGAGTCTGACCTAGCACTCATCTCTGCGTCTCACCCCGCCCACCACCTCCACTGGCTCAGTGTGAGGGTCTCAGGGCTCCAGCAGGGCCAGAGAGGGGGCCCCGGACCACCTGCCTGTGATCATCTCCAACCCACCCTAGGCCCCACAATCTGAGGGCTCCCCTGAGGTCCGGAGGCAGCCGGCCCGGCCATGGCGGAAGGTGACAGGGCCCAGAGCCAGCTGGAGGGGGGGAGTGCCCCAGAGGGACGCACGCACGCCTGGAGCTGGCCCACCACCACCAGCTTCCGGATGAGAGGCCCGGACAGACACGGGAAGGAACTCTCAAAGTCACAAGGCCGACCCACCCAGCCGGTCAGAGCGCGAGGCTGTCAGCGGCCGCCGGGAGCCGGGAGGGGTGACTAGCTAGGCTGCAGCCAGCTAAGCCCTGCCACCCGCTTTCCCGGGAGCCAGCGCCTTGCTCAACCCTTCCCCCCGGAACCCTCAGCAGACCTGTGAGGGCGGCACAGAGCGAAACGAAGAGTCCAAGACCTGGATGCAAACCTGCCTCTGCTGCTTAAATGCTGCGAGGACCTGGGCAAACCACTTACCTCTCTGTACCTCGGTTTCCCCGCCTGGGAACGGGGGCAGGGCACCTATCTCACAGGGTAGCTCCGGGATAAATGAGGGGACACTGCTGAACCACACCCCGCTCCGGCCCTGACCCCCGCGTTCCGATGTCAGGAGAGCTTCCGGGCACACACTCACCGAGCGGGGACGCGCTGGGCGCCCGGGGGGCAGGGCGCTTCTTGGTCTTGGGGCTGCTGGTGGGGGTGATGCCGTACCAGGGGTGCAGGGACTTGGGTGCAGACTCCGGGGGGGCCTGGGCAGGGCTGGTGGCTGGACTGGGTGCAGCAGGCGGCTCCTCCCCCTCCCCCTCCTCCTCCTCGAAGGGGTTGTAGGGCTTGGGCTCCGGGCCAGCCGCCTCCTCGCCGCCGTCCTCCGCCCGCCTGCTGTCCCGGCCGGGCGGCCGGGGGCTGCTGCTCGGGGGCGGGGGGGCCGGCTTCTTCTTCGGCTCCGCCTGGACCAGCGCGATCCAGGGAGGGTCCCTCCGGGGGGCGGGCGTCCTGGAGGCGGCAGGAGAGGCAGGAGCCTCAGGAGGGAGGGGCAGCGGCCTCTCCCTCTGGACGGCGCTGCGTCCATTCCCAAAGGGACGCTTCCTCCTCTCCCGCCCCAGCACGGGCCCCGGTCTGGGCCACAGGCTGAACGGACTGACAGTCACGTCCCCACGGGACCCCTGGAGGCCCAGGGGGGGTGAGCCTCAGGCCACACAACCCAGCCCAGGAGACCCACGGGCTCCCTCTGCATCCGCCTCCCACCCAGGAAATGGGGACAACAGTGACCCTCACCCCACAGGTCACAGGAGGGCCCAGCGGGCACAGCACCTGGCACGCAGCGAGTGCTCACCGAGTCTGAACTACTCTTGTGCTGTCACCCACAGGGGGCCCCCAGGGTCCCGGATGGAGGAGCTGAGCAGGTACCCAGCCGCGCTGTGCTGGCTTTTTTGCACCTGCTGCCAACCCTCCCAGCTCAGTGAGCCACCAGGCCGCCCCGTCACGAAGGCAGCGCAGGCGAGGGAAGGAGAGGGGACCGCAGAGATGGGTCTCCACCTGGCACCGCTGCCCACAGGACAGGGCCCCCGGGAGCCTCAGGGGAACGGATGTGGGCTCAGCACGCCTTCCCCCCACAGAGATGACCCCTGCCCATTCTTGGGAGGGTGCAGAGTGGGGCCTGTGCCTCCCCGGCAGGTCCCAGGAGCCCCCCATTCCCACCACCAGGCCCGAAAGCCTCTCGGGGCCCCTACCTCTCTGACAGCTTGGGCGTCCCTCTCGGCTTGGGGACGGGGGGCTCGTTCAGCCGTCCTAGATGGGAAAGGAGGGTGAGACAGGCCTTCATGCCGCTGTGGGCTGGGCAGCGCAGTGGCCAGCCAGAGTGACCGCCTCACCGAGGAGTGCCCTTCCTTCCTACCTGGCCCGTCACCTTGGCAGGTGGCCATGGCAACCTCCCCTGCACACGCCCCCACACCCCCGCAGGGAGATTAGATAAGCACCCACCAGAGGGCACAGGCAGAGGAGGTGAAAGCCAAGGACAGGGCCTGAGACCCCATTTGCATTTCCGTTGAGAAGGGAAAGCCCAGCCCTCAGACCTGCCCTGTGACGGGAATGTCTCCATGCACCCAGCACACTCCTCTGGGCAGCCTCTGCCCCCAGTGCCTCATGAACCCACAGCAGCCCCTGCCCCCCTAACACCTCAGGCTCCACTGAAACCGCCTGCGCCCGGCTCCCCGGAGACTGGCTACACCACAGAGGCACACAGGTGAGCACCGTCTCTGCCCAGTGCCCAGCTCAGAACAGCCCCGACAGCCAGAGGAGCCTCTGCCCCCGCCCCACGGGCCCTCCCAGCCCAAGCGCCTTCCCTGACCAGCTGAGAAGAGCTGCCAGCACATCGGGGTGCCCGGAGACTGCCCGATGAGCTCACGGAGCCCAGGCAGGTCATCCGGAAAGTCCTGCCATGAGGGCCGGGGCGGGGGTCTCCCCACAGCCTTGATCAGAGCCCCCTGACCAGGGACACACCCGGCCTGCCCGCCCCTGAGCACTGCCCGGTCAGAGGCAGACAAGGACATGGCTGGGCGTGAGGGAGGTCACACGGAGGGAGTATGCAAAATGGCCAGGCACGCCAAAACCGGTTTGGCTCAGTGGATAGAGCGTCGGCCTGCGGACTGAAAGGTCCCAGGTTCGATTCCGGTCAAGGGCATTCTTGGTTGCGGGCACATCCCCAGTAGGGGGTGTGCAAGAGGCAGCTGATTGATGTTTCTCCCTCATGGATGTTTCTAACTTTCTATCTCTCTCTCTTCCTCTCTGTAAAAAATCAATAAAATAAAAAAATAAATAAAAAATTTTAAGATTATTAAAAAAAAAAAAAAAAAAAAATGGCTGGGCGCACAGCCCCGGGTACAGTCGGGACACAGGCACACACAGTGTGCACTTGCTCCACACCCCAAAACGGACGCACACAAACACACAGAAGAACACAAACACCCCAACACACACAGCATGGCAGCCTGGGCACCCGCTGTGTGCATCTGCTTTGTTCCAGCTGTGCCCACGGCCTCAGTCACTGTTTGTGACTGTTTGTGTCACCCCCCCACACACAGACACAGACAGGCCCCATCAGCACGCCCAGGGCCCGTGTCACTGACACACCAGCGAGTGCCGTCCCAGCCGGACCCGGCTCACCGTTCACCAGGCCGCTGCCTCCCTGCTCCGCCGGGTTCTCCGGCTGCAGACTGGACCGGGGCCGGGGTGTCGGGGGCACTGAGGGCGGCGAGGCTGTGCCCTCCAAGGTCTTCCTGGGGGCGGGCATGGGGCGGCCGGCCTGGGGGCTGGCCAGATCCGGCGGTCTGTCCGGAACGCAGGGCTTGGTGGGGATCTGGGGCCGGGCCTCAGCCCCCGCAGCCGCCCTCGGGCTGGGGCCGCCTCCCTCCACATCCGTGGCTTCTGCTGCTGCGTCCCTGCCTTCTTCTTGCTGTCGCTTTGGCTGTGGCGGGGACCGGGGCCTGGCCCCCCGCCCGCCGGGGCCCAGCCGGGCACAGTGCTCCGCGCACACGAAGGTGCCCTCCTCAGGCCCGGCCCTGTAGGCCCCGGGGATGAGGGTGCTGGAGCACTGCCGACACCTGCCAGGGAGAACGGGATGGGCATTGAACCTGACCAGGCAGCCGGCCCGGCGTGCGGCCGCCCCTCCTCCAGCACCCCAGCTCTTCCCCCTCCTCCCGAATGCCAGCCGGATCCTGTCTCAATGCCCTGACTTCCCGGAGGAAAAGGAACACGGGAACTGTCAGGATCACAGCAGAACAATACAGCCACGGGAACCAGCAGAGGCCTGTGAAACGGTTCGGTTTGGCAGCGAGAGGAAGCAGTCCCCCGGGGCCAGGCCTGAGGCCGGTCTCGGGCAGCGGGTTGTTGGTTTGGTTGTTTGTGGACAGAAGAAACCCACAAAGTGTCAGAGGGTCACACTTGCTTTTCCAAACTCTTACTCCAGCTGTGCCTCCACCTTTACAAGTTTCCCTCAGGTGTGTTCACACTCGTTAAGTGGGTTTCTTACTGGGGGGGAGGGGTGGTCATGGGGTCTCTGTAAAAAGTTTATAAACACACAGACACACACCACACACCCATCACACACACACACACACACACACACACACACACACACACGCAGCCACAAGAGTGCATCCTGCAACTGTCAGACTCCAGCTCCCTCGACGCTTCCATTTCCTTTCCTGAGTTCTTCCCGAACCACATCTCTCCTAAATGGCTTGTACTTTCCTTGCCTCTTATTCCGTTCTCTTTAACCACTTCCACTGGGACCGCACAGAGAGCAGGTTGACACTGTGAGTTTTACAAACTCCCCCCCCTACCCTGTCCCCCCTCCCCTCACACACACACACACACACACACACACACACACACTCACACCCCGCAGCGGCCTCTAAAGCAGACTGCGCCCCTGAAACCCGGGGGTTCACCTCCGAGAGATGCCGGGCAGAACCCGGCTCCAGCTCTCCTGACCACGAGCCGGCCTCCCCTCGCCCGGCCGGAGCTGCTCCCCATAAAGGAGACAAGCGGGTGCTCCATAGGAGAGCCGCGAGGTGCCCCCCTCGGCAGGGCCGGACCGCGGCGCCCGCCCCGCGCTCACCGGAAGCAGTGCCGGTGGAAGAGCCGGCCCTCCGCCAGGTACCGCTGCACCAGGTGCACGTGCTGCCCGCAGGCCGCGCACACGCTGCTGGGGGGCCGCTGGGCGCCCCCCTCCGGCTCCGACAGCTGCCCGGGGGCCAGCTCCTCGCCCTGCGGGAACGGGCGGGCAGGTTGGGGTGGGGGCTCGGGCACCTGCCACCCCAGTCCCTCTAATGGCCGCTGCCCCCTCCCTCCCCCGCCGCGTGCACTGCGGACACCTGCCAGGTGCTAATGTGCTTCGTCTGGGCCGGGAGGGGGACAGGGTGCGAGTCACGTCTCACAGAGGAGGACAGGAAGCCCGATGGAAACATGCAATCCTCCCTTCGGTGTCTGGGCTTCCTGCCAGAAAGCCGGCTCCTGAGAGTGACCCCTCCCTGCGGCTGCTCCCACCCTCACGTCTGCGGCCCTGCAGGCTGGCCCGGGTGACCGTCCTCACCGCCCCTCTGCCTCCTTCCTGCAGCCCCAGCGGACTTAGCTCCCAGCTTCTCTACTTCTGAGCCCTGTGACCTGAGCAGGCCTGGCTGAGCCTCAGTTTTCTCCTCTGTGAATCAGGACACAGCACAGCCGCCTCCAGGGCTGCGAGAGGGTAAACGGAACCGCCAGGCGGCGAGACGCTGTCCCGCCAGGCGAGTGCATTAAGTCAGGCCCAGGTGGCAGAGGCCGTGCTGTGGGCTGCCCTGTGCCCCTCCCCAGGCCTGGTGACTCCTGTCCTGACCCCCGGCCTGGCCTGTGAGACGCCACTTCCAAAGCCGGTGGGAAAAGGTCCAAGTGTCCCCTGAACACTGCCCTGCCTGCTGCCCCTGCCCCCCCGCGCCCCCTCGGGCATCTGCCTACCTGAGCCCTGTCTTCCGGTTCCGCTGGCGTGGACGGCGGGGAGGAGGGCGACAGGCCCTTCCTGGGAGCTGACACACCGGCTGCCAAGAGACAGAAAGCAGACCTGAGGCGGGGGAGACCCACGTTCTGAGCTCCGCAGACATCACCTTCGGTCCCCGTGCAGCGGGACCAGAGCTGGGGGCCTCCTCTACACAGACCGGCGGACCCCTCCACGTCCAGCCAATCCTGAACGCAGCTGCTCACCCTGCAGGGAGGGGCGGTGACCCCTGCCGCACAGGGGCCCAACCCCAGAACTCACCAGGGGCTGGAGGGAAGGAGAAAAGAACCACAGGCTGGAGGATCAGGAACGTGGTCGCTCCCTGGGCCAGCAAGGAGCTGCCCTACCTCCGCCCCAGTGGGCAGCTGCCGACCCTCGCCCCAGAGACCTGCCACCCCACCCAGCCTCCTCCGGCGTCCTGCTCCTTCATGCCGTCAGCAATATCCACTGAGCACCCACCTGGTACCCAGGGATTAAAATAAGCACCCCAATTCTTAAAACTGTATTTAAAAGTCCCTTTTACTGTATGACAATTTAAAAAATAAGACCCACGTTCCTTACTGTGGCCTAAAATCACCGAGCTTCAGGTCACAGTCCATGATTGGACCCTGAAATCAGTTTTGTGGACTGCAACTAGCACGTTTAAAAGATGAAATGGCCTGGCTGGTGTGGCTCAGTGAGCACCAACCTATGAACCTGGGTTCGATTCCCTGGATTTCGGGCTTGATCGCCAGGATGGGGCATGTAGGAGGCAGCCGATCAATGGTTCTCTCTCATTATTATTATTTTTTTTATAATAAAGTATATTTCTCAGATTCCTTTTTTTTAAAATATATTTTATTGATTTTTTACAGAGAGGAAGGGAGAGAGAGAGATAGAAACGTCGATGAGAGAGAAACGTCGACCAGCTGCCTATTGCACACCCCCCACTGGGGGTGTGCCCGCAACCAAGGTACATGCCCTTGACCGGAATCGAACCCGGGACCTTTCAGTCCACAGACCAACGCTCTACCACTGAGCCAAACCAGTTTCGGCTCTCTCTCATTATTGATGATCCTGTATCTCTCTTCCTCTCTCAAATCAATGAAAGTATATTTAAAACAAACAAACAAATAAACACCTAGCCAGTGTGGTTCAGTGGATAGAGTGTTAGTCTGTGGATCGAAGGGTCTTGGGTTCTATTTCAGTCAAGGGCATGCACCTGGGTTGCAGGCTCCTCCCTGGCCCTGGTCGGGGCTCATGCAGGAGGCAACCAATGGATGTGAGTTCCTCTCTCATCGATATTTCTCTGTCGTTCCCTTTCCCTTCCACTCTCCCTAAAAATCAAGGAAAAAAACCCTCTGGTGAAGCTTAACAACAGAAGATGAAACGGAACAGAAAGTATCTGTGTGCATCACTTGCATAAGGGAAGAATCATGTCCTAAAATTTGTTTCAGTTACCTATGTGTGCGTGACCTTAGACTGTGAAGGTAGCTGTATTTCTTTTTTTTTTTTTCTTTTTCTTTTTTTTTTCTTTTTTTTAACATGTTTTATTGATTTTTTAGAGAGGAAGAGAGAGGGATAGAGAGTTAGAAACATCGATGAGAGAGATTCATCGACCAGCTGCCTCTTGCACACCCCCTACTGGGGATGTGCCCGCAACCAAGGTACATGCCCTTGACCGGAATCGAACCCGGGACCTTTCAGTCCGCAGACCGACGCTCTACCACTGAGCCAAACCGGTGCCGGCGGGAGCTGTATTTCTTACCATGAGTCATGGTAAAACATTTTGGAAGCCTCGCCGCCTGCTCAAGCCCCAGCCTCTCGGACCCCATCTCTCCTCGTCTCCTCTCCCCTCACTCCCTGAAGCCCACAGGCCCCTGCTGCCCTCCTGCCTGGAACATTCCTCCCAGATCTCACGCCTCCTTCCCCTCCTTCTCCAGGCTTAGCTCACGGCACCTCCTCCGACAGGGCCTCCCTGACCACTTCCTATTCCCACTGCTTTCACCCCATTACCTTCGTTTCCTTATTGGACCCTCCTAACACTACGTCATCATTACAATCCTCTCTCCCTCCCTCTCTCTCTCTCTCTCTCTCTCTTTCCTCTCTCACCCTCCCCCCCCCCCCCATCCATTAGACTGCAAGCTCTGAGTGTGTGTCACCCTCAGCTCTCTCCCGAGCACGGCGCCTGGCGCACAGCAGGCGCGCCGTGGGCATGTGTCACAGAGATGAGTGAGTGCCGGCCAGGCAGCCGTGACAGAGACAGTCTGCAGGGGAGCAGAGAGGAGTGGTCGCGCTGCTGCAGCCACAGTCTCGTGTTGAACACGGGGCAGGGGCGACGGAGCATCTGGAGTAAGCGAAGCGGGGAGGGATCAGAGGCTCCGTGGGGAAGAATGTGCTGGGGGAGGAAGACACCGGACAGACGGTGGAGTTTGGGGCCGCAGGGCCACCGAGAAGAGACTGAGCAGCACAAAGTGCCGTGTGCAGGCTGGTGTGGCTCAGGGCTAGGTGGTCACGGGTTCCATTCCCGGTCGGGGCACATGCCCCAGTTTCAGGCTCGGTGTGCAGGAGGCAGCCCATCAAGGGTGTTTCTCTCTCGTTGATGTTTATCTCTATCCTTCTCCCTCCTTCTCTCTCTCTAATAAATCAATAAAACAAAAAGAATGGGAGGTGTTCAAGAAGCACAGAGATCGGGGCAGCGAGTGGCTCGAGCTACATAAGAATGAACAGGGCCCCACTCAGAAGCTGTGCTTTATCCCGATGACACCCGCCACTGCCACCCTGTGGGGCTGGAACCCCTCCTCCCTCTTCCCAGACGCTGGGCGTCCTGGAGGTCAGGGGTCAGCTGATGTGCCCAGGGTCACCGGCACCCGCAGAGCCTGGCACAGGCTGAGCACCCGGCACGGCACTCCAGCGTCTCAGCCAGGGCCAGGTTCAAGGTGACCCAGCCCGGGGAGGTCAAATCCAGCCAAAAGCACCGTGAAAGCCCTCCCTTCGCCCGGGAAGTACAGAACGGGCCGTCTGGGGGCATCTGACAGCCGGCTCTGCTCCAGGGCAGAACGTGGCGCTGGGCCTCCGCTGGCTGAGCAGCAGGTGGGATAAAAACGGTTTGCATTTGGGGGCCAAGTTTTACAAAAAGCACAAGCTGTGCTTTTAGCAACAAGAATCCTCGCGGGCCCAGGCGTAGCTCGGAGCTGGGCCCCAGGGTGCCCTCCCCCGGTGCCTGAGGAGGACCCAGCACCACCAACAGTAGGATCAACGCCCCCCAGCCCCCACCCCACAGCTCCCCAGAAGACGAGCTTAGTAGAGAGAGCCTGGGGGGGTTGACAGGGAACCTTCCAGAAGATAGGACCAAATTGTGATTCTAGGTAAGACAGCTACATTCTAACCAACGGAAGAAAGATGTGGTAATAACACTAACCCTGAGTCCTAAATAAGAGCCACACGCAGGCTGACATTTCCTCATTTACTCCTCACATCAGCCCTGAGCAGTGGGCGCTATTCTCGTCCCCACTGCCAAGGGAAACCGAGGCAGAGAGGTGACTGAGGTGGCCCGGAGGGTAAATGGCAGAGCACAAGTTGAGACCACGCTCTTAGCTTCCACCCTATTTGCCTCTCACCAAAGACTTAGAGGTCAAGAAATCTTTTCAACTTGATTTCTACTAAAAGACGTATCATGCTACTTGTTCAGGTGCCATATGAATCCCTAGCAATATCTTGGGAAGGGGAGTAACAGATTATTTTAATTCCTATGTCCTTTTCTGTGTTCTAACTTGTCTGCAGTAAACATGCCTTACGTTTAAAAAGGAACAAAAGACCTGACTTGACAGACACTGCTTTACAGATGGGCTGGGATTGTTCACGTGACAGCGGAGGCAGCAGGCGGGCTGCGCAGGGGCAGGGAGGGGCAAGGCGCCCACCCCCTCCGGGCCCAGAGGGACCCAGAGCAGCCGTCCGGACACCTCTGTTCTCCACCCGCCTCTGCTTTCCTGCCGCGTGACCTTGGCTCCTCGCTACCCCGATCCGGGCCAGCTGCCCCGGAGAGTCCTGCACGGGGTTCTCCAGGCGGCAGGCTGCCCCGCAGGGCCCTGGCTCAGAGCAGAGAAGTGCCCGGTCCCCAGGGAACCCCCAGCTCCCAGCCTCTCCGTTCTCAGGCCTTGAAGGTCACTTCTGGGGAAGAGGCTGACGGCAGCCCACGGTCACTTCCCGCCGGAGGAAAAACCCAGGGAAGTGTCTGCTAACAGGAAGTGGGCGGCGCAGAGGTGAACTCAGACAGCGGGAAGCACCCCTCCCGCTTTGTCTCCCCTCATATTGTTTTGCTCCGTTATGAGCTGCTGTGTTTGTTCTCTGTCCCCGCCACCAGACTGGGCGCTCGGGAGGGCAGCGACCTGGTCACAGCTGTGCCTCAGCACACGTGCGGTTACACCCAGAAAAGGGCGTTTCAGTGAGTGAATGAAGGATCCAGTGCATGGATGATGGGCGGCCCCCAGGCTGCCAGTTTGCAGCGCAGAAAACTAACTACCACCCGTCCCAGCCCCAGGCCCAGCCCCAGCCCCAGCCCCAGCCCCAGGCCCAGCCCCAGCCCAGCCCCAGCCCCCTCCCTCTGCCCCAGCCCAGCCCCAGCCCCAGCCCAGCCCCAGCCCAGCCCCAGCTCCAATCCCAGCCCAGCCCCAGCCCCAGCCCCGTCCCCCATCTCCCTGAAGGCTGCCCCTCACCTTGGCCATGGCTGGCGAAGTGGCTGTAATACTGGGACACGTAGGTCATGATGCTGAGGCAGTCAGGGACCCTCATGGAGACCATGTCACTGGGGTCCAGGAGAGCAGGAATGCCCAGCTCCTTCTCGGCCACTTCAAAAGCCTGGTGGGAAAGGTGCAGGGGTGGGGACAAAAGCAGGACGAGGGAGGAGGCAGGTTAGTGGGTGCCTGTCAGTGGGATGAGGAGTACCAGGGCAGGGGTGGGCATCGGCTCCCTCAGCTCTGAACCCACATGACGGCCTGGTGCTCCAGGGACAAGCCGGCCAGAGGGAAACAGGAGTGGGGAAAGGAGCAGCCAGGGCCACAGTTCAGGCAGCCCTTCCACAGATCCTGCCCTGCAAGACCCTTACCCACCCCCACCTCACCCCTCCCCTTCCCACCCCATCCCTCCCACTCCTTCCCACCCCTCCCCACCCACAGCCTCTTGTGCTTTCATCTGTTGGAGGAGGACTTACCAAACGGTTATTCTCGAAGACATTGTCCTTGGAAAGCGAATCAAAATCTCTGCAAGAAGCAAAGGGGAGGGGGGGCACTGAGGAGGTGACAGGACCAAGGAAGGGGCAGGTGGGTGACCTCATCCCAGGGGACGGGGCCTGTGGACTGGCTGGGGGGAAACTGAGGCACCAGCACACGCTTGTGGAGCTGGGCCTTCCTGGTGGGGCACAGGCTGAGCTCAGGCACCCAAGCAGAGGATGCAAATCACTCCAAGGGCTGGGCTCAAGGTCAAGCTTCCAGGCTGAAGACCCCTTAGCTCCCTGCCATCTGGATGCCCTCCCCGGGCAGCCACATCCCGGCCCGACCGGGGCAAATACTTGTCAAAACAGGGACATCCGTGGACTGAGGCCTCGCGCCCGTGCTGTGCTGTGCTGAGCTCCTGTCTTGGATTTACATTGTTTTCAACTGCCTGGCTGGCGTTTACCCCCTTTCAGAAGAGAATGCTGAAGCCCCAGAGGGGAGCCAGCCGGCCCGGGAATCCACATTCCCGGTCCTTGTGCTGCAGGTCTCAGACCTGAGTACCTCACCAACATGCTGGATCCCAACCCAGCCCGCGGATGACTGCTCCTTAGTGCGGCCGGGACTGAGCAAGTCTGAACTGGACTGCGAACAGAGCAGCCTCAGAGCTGCTGGCAGGCGCTGGCCGGCTGGCTGCCCCGCTGGGCCACCCCGGGCAGCTTCTGGCGGAGCGGCGCCGGCTTCCCCAGCTCTAAGCGGAGACAGGTGAGCGGCGGCAGGGCCGGCTGGGGGACGCCGGAGGGGACAGCTGGCCGGCCTGCTGGTTTATGTATGCCCCTCGCCCCCTCCCGGCTCCTGCTGGAGTGGCTGAGACTAGGAGAGGCAGCCCAGCCTTCTAGCTGGCAGCCTCCGGGGAGCACCGCCCGCCCCAGCGATTGCCCTTCTATGGCTGAAAACTGCAGCCCGGCTGCCCGACTGCCCGAGGCCGGGGGCCGGAGGCTGGAGCCGGCAGCGTGTCCTCCAGGCCCCAGCCCTGCTTCCCGGCAGTGGGAGGACTGGCAGAGTCTGCGCTGGGTGAAGGCAGGCCGCACAGACAAGGGAAGAGGGCAAGCACACCCCTCCCCTGCCCTCCGACGCCGAGCCCCTCCAGGCAGAGTCCAGGCACAGAACCCCGGAAGGAGGTGCCCACGGTGGATGGACTGGACAGAGGGGAGGTGGCCGTGTAAGAGCTTCAGCCCCCTTTGCCACCCCGGCCAGGCTGCTTCCTTCTCCCCTCCGCTGGCCCCTAACTGCCCTGGCCTTGCCACTGCCTCAGAGCATGACCCTCAGCAAGCAGGGTGAGCGCCTCACCCTCTGCCTCCCGGCCTGGGATGCTGTGAACGGGGGCGGGGGCACCAGCAGAAGCCCCCCAGACAAAGGCTTGTCACCCAGACCAAACGGGACAAAGCACTTTGTCTCGGCCACTTCTTTCCGGTCTCCCCAACAGTGTTCTTAGAAAGCGGGACTTCATTCACCCTCTGACGCCATAGCTCCCGGCGCTTAGTAGGCACTCAGTGAATGTTTACTGAATGAAGACACCCTGGAAGCATGTGAAAACCCGAAAGGCCCCCAAGGCACTCCAGCTCTCCCTCCAGCCTCTCACCCCGCCCCAGCCCTGTCTCTAACCACCATCTGGGCTCTGGTAGCAGATTTTCTGCCAGTTTCAAAGGCCCAGGAAGTTCTCTTTGGCTCCGAGGGAGATGAAGGGCACAAAAATGAAACCCATATGGTGTCTGCCCTCAAGGGAGCTTAAAGGTGCCTGGATTGGAGGAATTGGGAATGAACATGGCAGCAGAGCCCTGTCCCACCCTCTACACACGCGTGCGCGCGCACACTCACACACACTCTCACACACACTCACATACATGCACACTCTCACACACACTCACACACACTCTCACACACACTCACACACACTCACACACACACTCACACACACTCACATACATGCACACATTCACACACGCACACACACACTCACACACACTCACATACATGCACACACACTCACACACACACACACTCACACACACTCACATACATGCACACACACTCACACACACACACACTCACACACGAACACACACACTCACTCGCGCACACGCACGCACTCACACACACACACACACGCACACGCACAGGCAGGACCCACAGCGCCAGGAGCTTGAACTACTTCAAGATGCTGCTGCTAGCCGAAACCGGTTTGGCTCAGTGGATAAAGCATCAGCCTGCGGACTGAGAGGTCCCGGGTTCGATTCCGGTCAAGGGCATGTGCCTTGGTGTGCAAGAGGCAGCTGATCGATGACTCTCTCTCATCGATGTTTCTAGCTCTCTATCTCTCTCCCTTCCTCTCTGTACAAAATCAATAAAAATATTTTTTTTTAATTATTAAAAAAAAAAAAAAAAAAAAAGATGCTGCTGCTTGCCAGACCCTCCTTCATGGAGATCCTCCGCTCCGCACCTCAGAGGCCCTCTCTAGGCCTTAGGTGGGACCTGGGCCTCGGTTTCTGTCCTATGCAATGGGCTGGCAGCCCCCCCACGGGCCTGCCTTGCAAGGGAATGCCTGGGTGAGATCCTAGTCTCTTCTCAGGAGGGGAGCCGCCCTCCCTTCCTCACCAACTCCGGCCACGGCCTTCCCCTGCTTAAAACCATCATGGGCCGAAACCGGTTTGGCTCAGTGGATAGAGCATCGGCCTGCGGACTGAAAGGTTCCGGGTTCAATTCCCATCAAGGGCATGTATCTGGGTTTCGGGAACATCCCCAGTGGGGGGTGTGCAAGAAACAGCTGATTGATGATTCTCTCTCATCAATGTTTCTAACTCTATTCCTGTCTCTTCCTCTCTGTAAAAAAATCAATAAAATATATATATTTTTTAAAGTTAAAAAAGAAAAAAAAAGCCGAAATTGGTTTGGCTCAAAATTAAAAAACAAACAAACACTATCATGGCCCCCAAGGCCCTGTGAACCCCCTTAGGCAGCAAGAGGCCCTAAGCACTCTGGCCCAGCCACTCCCGCCACACATCACAGTCCCCAGCAGCACTGCCTGTGCCCGCTCTGATCAGGGGTCCCCTCTGCCAGCGCCCTCACCTGGCTCCTCTATCTCCTTGAAAACCAGGTGACACCTGGAGGCCTCGCGCCCCCTCCCTGACAGAGCGCTTCCCACGGGAACGGGCACCCTGCGCCAGCCTCTGCTCTCCCGGCCGGTGGGCGCCTGCGGGTTGGCCTGGTACTTGGTTGTTGTCTCCATCACCAGGCCCGTGCCCAGCACAGAGCAGTAACTCTGCACTACGTGTTGAATAAATGGAGGAATAGGACACTGTCCTCCTGGTCCCGGACTGCCTAATAACCCTGCTTACAATAACGAATGTTAATTGAATGCTCGCTTCCTCATTTAACCCTCACAACAGCCCTGTGAGGTCAGCCTTATTACCACCCCCGCTTTACAGATGAGGGAGCGGCTGCCTGGGGGCCCCGGTGACTTACCGCAGGGACACCTGGGGCACGGCACTGAGCACGGACCCAGCAGCCTGCACCTTCCGATACCCGAGTCCCTTCCACCTGGCCCTGCCCTGCCTCCTGCCCCCCAGCCAACACAGAAGACCCTGGTGCCCTTCTCCGTCTTTCTTCACGCCCCTCTGAGCACCCAACCCCTCTCAGTGCAGCTGTCACACCCCCCACGGCAGGCAGGGCCCACCTGCGTCTGTCACCACCTCAGCCCCTTCACTTCTGCATCCGCACCCCCAAAACCCGCTCCTCCAGGCCGACCCACCACCCTCAGACACAGTACCACGCGGCACGGAGCAAACTAAGTGCCTGCCCCAGGGATCCCTGAGGCGCCCCTTCCTCCCTCCCCTCTGTCCTCAACGCCCTGCCAGTGCTGTCCTTGGGGAGACAGGTCAGGGGGGCGGGGAGCAGACATGGAGACTCTGGACCCTGTGGACTCAGACACCCTTGGTGGGGGCGCTGTCAGCACTAGAAATGGCAGGTATCTGATACACTCTCAGTGTTTTATGAATGAATGAATGAATGAATGAATGAATGAATGGGAGAAGTTCAAGGACCCAAGGAAGAGGAGCTGAGACAGAAGCCCCACGCCCACTGCTAGAGGGAGGGGGAGGTCTGGGGAAACTTCCCATGAGCACTCACTCCTGGGCGGCGGGAGAGGAGGAAGGAGACTTCATACCCCGGTGGCTGCCCGTCAGACGCCGCGTCCCCACGTGGCCTCCCGCCCAGAGGGCAGCGGGACCTTGGGGCGCACCCTGGGGGGCAGGTCTGTCCTCGCGCGGGTTGGGGCCTTTCGTCCCTTCAGCGGAGCCCCTCACCCAGGTCTCCCCCGCCGGGCACTGGGGACAAGGCCGCAGGGGTCAGAGAAGGGGGGTTCCCTGTGCTCAGAGCCGGGGGGCCCCGGAGGGCAGAGGCCGCCATGCCTCCCAGGGGCGCCGGGCCTGTGTGAGGGGAGCTCGGTGCAGGAGAGGCAGGGCCCCTGTGAAGAGTCAGGACCTGGGGGGGGGGGGGGTCCTGAGGCGGAAATCAGTGCCCGGGGCGCGGGGCCACCCCAACGCCCGCCAGGGAGCCCCCGCGCGACGGCGGGGGCCGAGGGGCGGGGCCGAGGCCCAGGGGGGGCGGGGGATGCACCGGGGGCGGGGGTGCCCCGGGCCGGGGTCTCAGCGGCCCTGCGGGCGGGCGCCGGGGCCGTCGGTGGGGTCGGTGGGGTCGGTGGGTCGGTGGGGGGTGGGTCGGTGGGGGGGGTCGGTGGGGGGTGGGTCGGTGGGTCGGTGGGGGGGGTCGGTGGGTCGGTGGGGGGTGGGTCGGTGGGTCGGTGGGGGTCGGTGGGGGGGGGGTCGGTGGGGTGGGGGGGTCGGTGGGGGGTGGGTCGGTGGGTCGGTGGGGGGGGTCGGTGGGTCAGTGGGGGTCGGTGGGGGGTGGGTCGGTGGGTCGGTGGGGGGTGGGTCGGGGGGGTCGGTGGGGGGTGGGTCGGTGGGTCGGTGGGGGGGGTCGGTGGGGGGTGGGTCGGTGGGTCGGTGGGGGGGGTCGGTGGGTCGGTGGGGGGTGGGTCGGTGGGTCGGTGGGGGTCGGTGGGGTGGGGGGGTCGGTGGGGGGTGGGTCGGTGGGTCGGTGGGGGGGGTCGGTGGGTCAGTGGGGGTCGGTGGGGGGTGGGTCGGTGGGTCGGTGGGTCGGTGGGGGGTGGGTCGGTGGGGGGGGTCGGTGGGGGGTGGGTCGGTGGGTCGGGGGGGGGTCGGGGGGTGGGGGTGGGGGATCGGGGGGGTGGGGGTGGGGGCGGGCACTCACAGCAGGTCGGGCCGGTGCCGGTGCAGGATGGCGCAGAAGGCCAGGCCGTCCCGGAAGGAGCCGCTCAGGTCGCGCACGTCCACGCCGCGGTAGCCCTCGCACTGGCGGCGGCACCAGGCCAGCAGCGCGCCCCGCGGGCCCGCCATGCGCCGCGGCTCCGCCCGCCCCGCCGCGACCGCTCTCCCGCGGCGAGGACCGGGGACCGGGACCGGGACCGGGACGGGGACGGGGACGGGGACCGGCGGCGGCGGGCCTGCCCGCGCGGCTCCCAGCTCCGGCGGCGGCGGGCGGGGCGGGGAGGAGGCGGGGCCCGGCTGCCGTCCTCGCCCGGCTCCGCTCCGGCTCCCCGCCCGCCCGGACCTGCCCGGACCCGCCCGGCCGGCCGCCGCCCACCCGCCGCCGCGTCCCGTCCCCGGGCCTGGGTCCCGCCCGCCGCCCCGAGCGGCCAGGGGGCGGCGGCCTGGGCCCCACCCGGCGCCGGCTCCGCCCCCAGCGCCGACCCCTCACCCCCGCCCACAGCCCACGCCCCTCCCCGCGGCGATCCCCACCCACCCCTCACGGTGGGGCCACCCGAACCCCGAACCCCCCCGCAGACCAGCCCTGCCCTGCAACGCTGCCCCCGCCCGCCGCCTCCACCGCGCAGCCCGCCGGGAGCTCTCCCTTCCCCTCCGCCCACTCCGGGGCCTGAGCTCCCACCTACAAACCCACCAGCTTCCCGGTCTGAAACTTGGGGGGGCTTCTCCCCCAACTCAGGCCCATCAGACGGTTCCCCTGCAGACTCCAAAGCCCCCCACATGGCCACCTCCACCCTGTGTCACCCCCGAAACACCCTGCCTCAGTCCGCCCGGAGGCTCCATGCCCGGCCAAACCAGCCCCGGTGTCCCCTCGGGTGGGATTGAGCCTGACCACCTGCCCTGTAGGATTGACCCCAGTGTAGGCTCTGGGGTCGCCCCCTCCCCACTGGGCCCCTCTCCTGCCCTGATGAGGGCCGTGATGGGCTGGGCGGTGCTAGGGGAAGGCCCTGTGGGAAGCAGGCTCTTGTCTGGCGGGGCACTGGGTATCCGGCCTGGAGCCATTCTCCTGCTCCCCCTTAGAGACCTGGGGAGCGACCCCTCGACCCCTCCCCAAGGCCGCTCCAGAGATGAATCAGCCTCCGCTGGCTGGCGGCCCGGCCATGGCAGTGATGTCACCCTGACCAGCCGGCTGCTGAGCCAGGATAGGTCTGTGGCTGCACCACCCCAGCCCCGGGAAGGAGCAGGGTCTTAGTCATCTGTCACCCCTCAGCCCGGGGGCGGGGCGGGCGTGGAAAGAACAGGGATTTAGGAGTCACATGGACCCAGCCTCACATCCTGGCTTTTCCCACTCACCCAGCCATGTGATCTGGAGCCGCCCTGACCCCCTCAATTTCTATATCTTAAAAATGGGGATAATTTCTCTTTTTTTGGGGGGGGGTGTGATAATTTCTTTGCAAGATGGCTGAGAGGATTAAGATATGCCTGACCTTTAGTCATCAGGCATAAATGCTAACTATTGACACCTGGTACCTGGTACATGTGTTAAAATGGATAGAAGGCATTTCATACCCAGCTTGTCACCTGAGCCTCGAATAAATTATCGAGCTGGGAGGGAATCCCACCTCCTGGAAGGCCGACTGAGCCCCAGCCCTGGGTACAATGCTGGCCCAGGGCAGGGGACCCCAACTTGCCAACCAGGGCCAGCCTCACCCCCTGGATCTGTCTGAGGCTGGAAGGCCACCACCTAGGCCCAGAGTGTGGACCCTCAGGCTGCCATTGGCAGGCTGCCCCTGTGCTGCCACCCCTACCTGCTCTGTTCCCTCTGGGAAAGCATCTCCAGAAAAGGAGGGTTCCAGGTGCCCTCATTCTATGGGGGACTTGGCCTTGGGACCCTGCACCCACGTTGGCCTTCAGAGTCCTCCAGGACTCTCATTAAAACCCTATCCTCACCAGCTTAAGGTCCCCGAAGACAGCTCCAGGTCTGACCTTGACCCCATTGCCATATGGCTTCCATGGCAGAGCCCTCTGGGCTCCCGCTGGTCATTTGTTTGTGGGGTTTGTAAACTCGTTCTTTGAGTCAGCTCGTCGTGATAGGAAGCAAGAACCTGCATGACCACAGCTGTGTGACCACAGGCCAGACAACTCACCTCTGCAAACCCCAATTCCACGCACACACACACCCGCCTTTAAAACCAGGATAACGATTTTTATTTTGCCTGAGTCCAGGGTTGTGGGTAATCAGGTGAGATAATAGATGGAAAAATGCTGTGCAGTCTGTAAATCCGGGTCCCGGCGGCAGGAGAGACTGTTTACAGGTGAGGTCAGAAGCCACAGGCAGCTGGGCAAGTCGGGTCAGTGGCCCCAAGTGAGGCCGTAATTTCAGGATTAGGACAAAGGGCTTTGAGCCCGCCCTTCTGTGCTTTTCTTTGTTTTTAAACTGTCAATTAGAAGTGAATACATTCTTAAAAAATTATTAAAGTAAAATAAAGCTGAAGTTCTTGCCTGTCTCTCCCTCAAACCCAGCCCCTCCTAAGAAGTAGCCACGGTTGTCAGTTCGAAACTTAGCCTTCCAGGCCTTGTGCAGCATTCCCAGGACTCAATCAACACCGAGCATCTGAGCCCAGGGGCTCCTGTCCTCAAGGAATTGGAATTCTAGCTGGGAAGAAGGGCAGTAAACAAGTAAACAAATCATGCCCAGCCGGTGTGGCTCAGTGGCTGAGCATCGACCTATGAACCAGATCACACAGTTGGATTCCCAGGTGGAGCACATGCCCTGGTTGTAGGTTCGATCCCAGTGTGGGGTGTGCAGGAGGCAGCCAATCAATGATTCTCTCTCATCATTGATGTTTCTATCCCTCTCCTTTCCTCTTTGAAATCAATAAAAAATTAAATCAACAAGGATTATTTGAAATGGTGGGAGGTGCTCAGAAGGAAAAGAGCAAGGTGCTGTGATGGAGACCATGGGAACAGATAGGGTGGCCTTCAAAACAGCTGCAGGTCTCCTGTAGCAGGGCAGGATGCTGGCAGGGCAGTGAGACAGACTTCTTGCAACTTTTTTTTTTTAATATATATTTTTATTGATTTTTTACAGAGAGGAAGAGAGAGAGATAGAGTTAGAAACATCGATGAGAGAGTCATCGATTAGCTGCCTCTTGCACACCCCCTACTGGGGATGTGCTCGCAATCAAGGTACATGCCCTTGACCGGAACCGAACCTGGGACCTTTCAGTCTGCAGGCCGATGCTCTATCCACTGAACCATACCGGTTTTGGCTTCTTGCGACTTTTTGTCCAGCACGCTGAGGAAGGAGGGACAGAAGCTGGATGAAGACACACAGAACCACAGGGTGGAAGAAGTTAACACGGAATGAGTGCTGGGAATGAATGAGTGAATGAATAACCACGCATAGACCTACTGTTTACATTTTCCCCCCACACAGATCTCAAGGTAAGTTTCAGAAAGATAAAAGGGAGAGGAGCCGAAACCGGTTTGGCTCAGTGCATAGGCCTGTAGACTGAAAGGTTCCAGGTTTGATTCTGGTCAAGGGCAAGTACCTTGGTTGCAGGCACATCCCCAGTAGGAGGGGTGTAAGAGGCAGCTGATCAATGTTTCTCTCTCATCGATGTTTCTAACTCTCTATCCCTCTACCTTCCTCTCTGTAAAAATCAATAAAATATATTTTTTAAAAAGGGAGGGTCCTGGAAAGGCGGTGGGGGAAATGAACTCCATCATTGCCCTGAGAACCTCAGGCTGTGAGTCTATCTGGTTCTGCACCTGCTCAGAGGCCGGTGGACTCAGTGGGTCCATGTGTGCATGTATGTTCCTGGGGGTGGAGGCAATGCCTCACTGGCCCTATTTCACCCGCCACCTACTCTCTGTGCCACTGAAGATCCTGGATGCGGGTGTCAGCTGCCCAAGGTTTGACATTAACATCTACAGAAGGTAGGGATCTGCCCACCCTTGCATGCAGCAGGCCTGTTTCTGATATTTCTGTCCTCCAGAAATACTATCTCAGGGCCCGAGATGTATATACAAAGATGTTCATTGTTCACAGCAGAGCACTGGGACCAGCCTAATGCTCCTCAGGAAGGGACCGGGTGATTCGGTCTCAGCACAGCTGGACAGCAGAGAAACCCGCAGCCGTTAAAAGAACGTCATGCAAATACATTCTGAAGTGGGAAAGCAAGCTGCAGAATAACAACTATAATAGGAACCCGTTGTTGCAAACAGTATTACACCTCTAGATGACATGTATGTTTATGTATCTAAACATTCCCAGGTGCATGTATCTGGCATATTAATTCATCAAAGGCAGGCAGGGGTTAACGGTGGGTTGGGATTGATGGGTATGACAGACTCACTTTTTACAAGTCACTACGGTTTGGATTTATAACAGACAACTTTTAAAAATAATTCCATAGCATAAAGTTCACTCTTTGAAGTATGCAGTTCAGTAGTTTTCAGTATATCCAGAGAATTGTGCAACCGTCACCCCTATTTCACTTAGAACATGTCCATTGCCCCCCAAACTCTGTACCCAATTTCCCTTCCCCTCACCCTGCCCCTGGCAACCACCAGTCTCTTTTCTGAGCACGTGACTTCTCTAGGTACCGCATACAGGTGGAAACGGTAGCGGCTGCTAGTTAATCATGAATATCTTGCTCTGTCATTGTTAACACTTGGGGGGAACAGTCACTTTCACTTTCTCATACCAACATACATTGCTTGTGGTTCCACATTGCTAGAGGCAAATCAGGCTGTAGGGTGTTTTATTTTTCATTATTATTTTTATTTTCATTTTGGGAGAGAGAAACATCTCCTTACACCCCTGACCAGGTATTGAATCTGCAACCTAGATATGTGCCCTGACCAGAAATAGAAAGCACAACCTTCCATTTATCAGTATTATTATCCTCAATAATACTGACAGCTCACCTTTATGAGCATTAGCCATATGGCAGACATTGTATGTGTGTGTGTGTTTGTTGTTATTACACTATATAATTTAAAAACATCACACACTCCAAAAAATAAAAATTTAAAAAAACAGTCCTAAATAAATGAGAATATTTGTCTGCATAGCAGTAGGGCCACGGGCAGTTGACTGCAAGATGAGAATAAGACCGATGAGG